GCGGCCACTGCACTCCAGTCTGGGCGACAGAGTGAGACTCCAACTCAAACAAAAAAAAGATCACAAATCTCAAGTGGACCCTTTGGTCTGCCCCAGTAAATATGCCTTTCATCTACTCAAGATAACTGTTTTATTGCTGTCATCACTCTTCTACTCTCAAAGACACTTTCCTCTTCCTCATTCTCAGCTCATGATCTCTCTTCTGACTCATGAAGAAAACTGCAGCAACCAGAAGACAACTACCTCATCTTCCCACCACCAAATCTTCCAGCTAGCCTTTATCCTAACTCAGGTCTGTGCCTTCCCTACAGCTGAGTAACTGTCCCTGCTTTTATCCATGGCTGATCGCTGCACATGGACACTGGACCCCACTCTTACACAAGGGCTAAATTCCCTGCAGTTGTGTCCCTTATCTCTCATTTTCTCCCTTCCTTGTGTATCCTTTCCATCAACATATATGCATACTATATAGTACCTCCATCATTAAAAATACTTTCCTGTGACCTTGCATCCCCTCCAGCTATTACATCTTCTTTCAGCTCTCTTCACTGCTATTCTTCCAGAATTGCCAGATTGACTGCCTCTTCATTCTCACGCCGACTCCCATCCTGCTTTTCTCTGATTCCATGAGGACTTTGTCCCCATCACTCCATTGGCTGCTTTTCTCAAGGTCATTGCCCAAAACAGTGGTCAGTTTTCTGTCCTCATCTCACATGAAGTCTTGGCAGCTGCTCACCTCCTTCTCCTGGGAAATCTTTCTTCAGGTGACTTTTAGAGCACCGCACTCTTTTACTTTCTCTTCTTCTTAGCAACTCCCTCCTCTACTTTTCTAGTTTCTCCATCCCCTCCAAATTCATGGTTGTTCGAGTACCCTAGGATGAAGTCTTCTACTACCTTCATCTTCTTACTAAGTGATCTCAACCAGTTGTGCTTATGACCCTCAAATTTTTATCTCCAACCCTTGCTTCATCCCAAACTCAGGTTCATATATTCAAATTAATTCCTAATTTCTCTTTTTAATGGCTTATATGTCAAAAATTTATATGATTATTCCTTTCCCTGCTCAAAAAAACTAATTGTTCTTCCCCCAGTCTTTCCTTTCTTAGTAAATAATTTCACCATTTTCCCAGTTGCCCAGGTCAAAGCTCAAGAAGTCATTCTGATACCTCTCTTTTTTTATATTCCATCCCAAGTCCTATGGACTCTACTTCCAAAATATATTCTATATCAGCCACTACCATGCTCCTCCCTATCCTTTCTTGCCTTGACCACAGATATATCTTTCTAACTTTCTACTCTTGTCACTTCGTGTAGTAGGTAGAATGATCTTTTAAATATAAAAATCAGATCTTTTTCTGGCCTTAAACACATAAACTTCCCATAATACTTGGAATAAAATACAAATTCCTTACCATGGCCCTCAAGGCCCTGCATATTCTGGCCCTGTGTGATTTTCAACCTGACCATCTTTTCCAATGCTCACTCTGCTCCAGCTACACTGGACTTCTATGTGCTCCTCAAATATCCCAAGCATACGCATGCTGTCCTCTCCTAGAAAGGCTCTTCTCCCGAGATCTTGACTCATTTTTTCACATTGCCCAAGAAATGTGACAGTCCTCTCCACATAGCCATTCCCAAATCCTGTCATTGTTCCTCACTCCCTTACTTGGTTATTTCCTCCATAACACTCATCACTATCTGAAATTATATTATTTATTTGCTTATGAAAGCACACCTTGTTTGTTGTCATATCCCTAATACCCAAGAGCACCTGATACTTAATAGGTATGCAGTGAATATTTGTTGAATGAATGAAAAGCTGTGTGCAGTTCAGTACATGCACAAAGTACTTTCCACAATATTGCAACCTGAAGCACACAGCAGTTCTTTAAGGAAGGTAAGAACTTTCCATTTTACAATTCAGGCCCCATTGAGGACATGAGGCCCAGAGAGATTATATCATTTTCCTGAGGTCCCATGGTAGGTCGTGGAGGAGTTTTTGAGCCACAAAACTGGATTCTGACTCCTGATCTTTCTCCCACTCAGCAGGTTTCCTCCAGCCCTCTCCCCTCAGGACCCACCCAGCGCCGGCTCAGTGTCAGTGCCAGTGTTGGAGGTGAGACTGGACTGATGAGCTGTGTGCTTCCAGATGAACTTCTCGTGCAGCTCCTGGCTGAGCGAATACAGGTGCGTCCATGCCACTTGCAATGTTCCCATGCTGTGAGCTAAGGTTCTGGGCCCCATGGCAACTCAGAATCCAGGGGCCTTGAAGAGGATAGATGGGTTTTCTCACCCCAGCAGTCATTTACTTGTCTTTTGGGAAGCTCTCATCAGTCCCTGACCCTGGCCCAGTCTACAGCCTGAAACCACTCACTTTCTTAAAGGACAAGAGAACAGAAGACTACACATAAATTTTTTTGAAAAGCAAACAGAAACAGAGGGATGTGTTAGAAATTATACTGAAGAGTCATTAAAAGTTAGAATTTGGAGCTATGTTAATTGCTGTAAAAATATTTTTTACAGCAATTAACATATGTCAATTGTATGTTATTAAATAGAAAAAGTAGATTAGGAACTTGTAGGTAAATCACAATAGCATTTCTATATAATTTTTTTTAATATTTATGAATGTATATCACATACTTAGTGAAAACTTTTAAAGTACATGTTGACTGTGGTTATCTTTGGATAGCAGGACTATAGATTTTTAATCTTTATACACTTCTGAATTATTTTACAATAACATACTGCTTTTAAAATAAGGCTGTAATACTTTTTCCATTTTTAAATTTTTTAATACGTATTCTATAGTTTAACAACAACAAATTAGATCAGCAGAATTTGGGAAGGTATTATTTAATCCTGTGTGCTACTTATGGTTTGCAGACAGAGCTAAATTATTCACCAGGTCGTAGAGTTGTGTGTTTGCTTTGGTTTTTCAAATAAGGCCACTACATTCATTGCACATTTAAATATAACAAAATTAGACTTGAGGTTCCCAGAAGAGGAGGAACATCATCACCAGAAATGATTGTTTATGTTAAGGTTTGCACTGCTACTGCATTAAAAGTACTATCACTGTCAACTTGTTTAAGCAAGGTGTTCTAATAAATGTGCAAGTGTTTTATACACCCAGAGTAAGGACTGAGAGGCAGTGGTAAAGCCCAAAGTAAGCCCATGGAGTTTTGCTACTCAAAGTGCTGGTCTTCGATGAGCCACAGAGCTTGCACTGCTTCCTTCATTGAAAAAGTCTTGATTCAAAGGGAGAAAAAACTAAATAGCATGTCTAGTAATATGGTTGATTTACGTTCTTGTCCCATCAAAACATAATGGTCAACTCTTGGTCAGTGGTGGCCAGTCTGTGGGCTATACTTTGAGTAACACTGAGTACAGCAGAGGCATTCTTCAGTGGTTACTATTACCAAAATCATTACATTCCAAGCCAGTAAGTCCACTAAGAAAAGCACAAACAGACCGTCCACTGCTGTTAAGTCTTGCTGCCTGTTATTCTGTGCATGGGAACATCTTTCATTTGTGTCTCATTTTTATGGAACTCATTAATCTTCCCAGACCCTTATTTGAACATTTTGTTTATTTATTTTTATAGAGACAAAATAGATCCTTTACAGATATGTACAATACAGACTGTTCGTGGCTGTTTAGAGATTTTTATTCTTCACTTTTATTTTATGACAGCACCTTGGATTTAGTAAGTGAAAGTGCAGCTTAATGACATTTTCACCAGGGCCCGGTAGGTCTGCAGAATCCATTGCAGCAGTAGTCAAAACAAGAACAACTTTCTCAGCAGGGAACAATTGTTGTGGCCACAGTAACTGTCTTTGCTCTGTCTGGTTTCAGCTAAGTGACTGCTACCGAGGAGTGGTGTTTGATGGCCTTGATACACTCTTTGCTCAGAACATCACCGCCGCCCTCCTCTGCCTGCTGAAGGCCATTGGCAATCGGGAGCACATCTATGTTCTCAACATGGCCCAGGATTATACAGCCATGAAGGCCCAGGAGAACGCCAAAAAGGAACAAGAAGGCAAGGCCCCCTACCTTCCCAGGCTATCTTTCCCAAGTCACAACAGATCTGTCTTTTAAACAGGGCATTAAGCTCTTAGTAAGATATTTCCCTAACATGACAATCCATTGAACTTAAGTGAAACTATAACATTTGTTGTCCCATTGGCGCTTCATGTCTGCCTTGTAAGGTGGCCAGGAGTTCGTATTTCTATAAACTGCCATGAGGGAACTGGGATACAAATGGCCTGTTGAAAGGTTGTATGACAAAGCTGCACCCAGCTCTGCTTACAGCAGGTGCATTCCTCCTTCCCTCCTATCGCTCTGTGCCCCTCTCATCCTCTTGTAATTACGACTCTTAAAAGTCCCATCCTGAGTCAGGTGACTGATTTCCTTGTTGGTTTTGCCTAAGGCTGACTGTGCATTTTCTATAAGACTAGAGGTGTGGATAAATTTCCCAAAACAATTTCTACATCTTATCCTGTTGTACACCAGACAATGTAGCAGACATTTTGTACACTTTGGGTCATTTAATCCTCACAATAACCCTGTGAAAATTATTGTCCCCATGTTACAGATAAGGAAAATGAAGCTCAGAGGTTGCAAAAGTCTTGTGTAAGATCACACTGCAAATAAGTGGAACCAGGTCTGTGTAACTAAAACCATTGCCTTTTCTGTCACTACAACAATGGCCTGGGAAACAACTTTAATAATTGAAAGATTTTATTGAAAAATAGATACACACACGCATGTAACATTAGCTTAAGATCCCAAATTAGTTAGAAGCAGCCCCAGAAAATCTTGGCCCCTGGGGGACAAGTTGAGGGACCACTGTTGGCCATGCTACTATCCTTCTTCACTTGGGCTTACCTCTGTGTTCTAGCACAATCTACACAAACCATTGTGGTTTCCAGTTAAAGACATATTTAAAAACACTTAGATCTCTTAGTTCTTGAAAGAAACTCAGGGTCTGCTTCCTTATATTCTCATCCAGAGAAAAATCTAAAACAATGACCAAGCATCTCTCAACAGTATTTCCACCTCCAGCTTCCTAGCTCATTTCTCCATAATGATTAACTTGAAAGAAATTATCATTTTTTATTTTCTCAGTTGTCTTTGGGTTGAAGTTTCTCATGGTTCAATTGTGGGTTACTTTCCCCTAAATCGTCTTCATTTTGAAAAGTCCTAAGACAACATATAACACTATTAATTACATTAAAATCTGATGCTTATTGTACATTTATGAACATGCCAGGCATGGACTATGGGCTTTACATGATTGTTTATTTAATCTGCACAACAGCCCTATAAGGGAACAATTGTTTATCCTTGTCTGTTATTATCCCTTGATAAGAGGCAGAGAGAGAGCTCACATACAGGTCTCTTGAGTTCACAGCTCAAACCCGCAAGGACAATGGTGAGAATGCTGTGTTAGGGAGGTGTGATGTAGAAGCCAGTGCATTTGTCCTGAGTGTGAACCACATGCCTGGACCTGGAATCTGTAGGGTGTGGAAGGGGATGTCCTTTGGTTTGCAAATGGCTTTATCACCATGAGCACTTTAGTGGCATATGCTCATAATGGATAAAGTCAACGGGTGGTTTATTAGTTTCCTATCACTTCTGTGACAAATTACCACCACTGTGTTAGTCTGTTCAGGCCATAACAAAATACCATAGATTGGGTAGTTTATAAACAACAGAAATTATTCATCACAGTTTCAGAGACTGGGAAGTCCAAGATCAAGTTGCCAGAAGATTCAGTGTCTGCTGAGGGCCATCTTCTGGTCATAAAAGGCATCTTCTTACTGAGTCCTCAAGCAAGCCCCCTCAGGCCTCTTTTATAAGGATACAAATTTCATTCATGAGGCTCCACCTTCATGACCTAATCACCTCCTAAAGATCCTACTTCTTAATATTACCCTATCGGGGATTACCATATATTAATAACATATTAATTTGGGGGAGGACACAAACACTCAAACCACAGCAGCCCTAGACCTAGTGACTTAATACAGGGTCAGAAGTTCTAAAATCAAGGAGTTAGCAAGGCTATGTTCTTTTTGGGAAGGGGAGAATCCTTTTTCTTGCCTTTTCCAGCTTCTGGAGGCCACCTGCATTCCTTGACTCCCAGCCCCTTCCTTGCAGCCCTTGGCTTCCATTGTCACATCTCCCTCTACCTCTGCTGTCCCATCACCTTCTCTGACTCTGACTCTCCTGCCTCCTTCATTAGGACTCTTGTAATTAGATCAGGCCCACTCAGATAATCTCCCCATGTCAAAATCCTTAATTTAATCACCTCTGCAAAATCTCTCTGTTGTGAAAGGCAACCTAGGCACAAGTTCCAAGGATTAGGATATGGGCATCTTTGGGGACCACTATTCAGCTGACCATAGATGGAGCCCAAATGTGGAACTGTGTGGGTGAAGGAAATCATCCCAAGAATTAAGCAGGTCAGCCACTGCACCAGCCACTCACACTGCACTCAGCCTGTTTAGGCCAAGAGCTAAGCTGTGAAGTACTGCTCTTCACCTTTGTGTCTCTGCTCCCCCCACAGAACACAAACGCAGAGAAGCTCTTGAGAAAGAGAAGGAGCGTCTCCAAAACATGGATGAGGAAGAATATGATGCTTTGACAGAGGAGGAGAAAATCGTGTTCAATCGGGAGGTTCAGCAGGTGCTCCGGGAAAGAAAGAAGAGGTCAGGACCAAGGGCTAACCAGAGCAGAAGCCATTCCCCTGAAACGAACCCCGGAGGGAGACCAGGACTGGCATAATGGGTCCAGATCATCTTCCAGGAGAGCAGCAATAGCCACAGAAGGCCCTGGGAGGTGACCTGCTGAGAGCAGGGAAACACATCCTTCCCATCTAGGGCACTGGTTGCTGCACTTTTCAGGGTTGCTCCCACTCTACTTCCTTCTCACTGGGGGACCAGATTGTGATGTCATGGCCAGCACTAGACTGAGGGCTTTTTGGCCCTAGTACTATTCTGGGGCCCCTGCTGGCTCCCTGATAAGTGCACCCCAGGTGTGGCTTATCAGCCTCTGAGCTCACTGGCTCAGTGTTTAGCTCTCCACAGCTGATGACCCAAGGTCCATTCTCTTGGCCTGGGCATGGTGATTGCTCCCCAGACCTCATTTCACCTCTTTCCTGGGTCCCCATCTTGCCTCTGGTGGCATTGCCCATCCTCTGAGGTCTGGCTGCCTCTCCCATGGGATCCTCAGGTTGGGCAATTTACAATCCCACAAGCCCACAATTCTGGCCACTTTCTGTGCCCCTCACTGGGAACCACAGAGAAACATCTAGATTCCTCCATGCTACCTAGAGCCCAAGAGACTTAGGGCTTCCACCTCAGGCTATCTCAGAGATGCAGGTAGGCAGTGGTACTTATGTCCTTTCTGCCCTCAGATCTTTAAACATTGTGGAGGCAAATGTGAGAGGAGAACAGTGGTTCTATTGCTTAACTCCTCCCTAGGATTTCAGACACTGGAGGGGGCAAGATACTCACCCACGATTTAACCCCTTCTCTCCCTCTGCCTCCAGACTCTTCCCACTGAGCCCAATAGAGCTTATATGTCCTCCCTTCTCCTACAGTATTCCCTCATCCTTTCTCCTGCATGATCCATTGTAGAAATGTCCAGTTCTCCATTTATGAAAAGCCTAGCTTTGGGGTTTTAAAAGAAACTCCTTTCTTTCTCACCAAGGCCATTGCTTCCAGGCATTCATCTCCTGGTGGACTTAGAAAATGCAGATTTGATTCTCAAAGTTCTGCAGCAACTTATTTGTGTCTCATACACACACACACACACACACACACACACACACACACACACCATGAAGTATGACAAGTTGGTTTCAGTGGGCAGAGAGCCATGGCAACCAGGAACAATTAGGCATTTCTGGAGATGAAGATAGATGGGTTAACTATTTTCAGAAGTGCTGTTTCCTCATCTGTTTGTGTTTTGTGCCAGCTTTGGCATCCTCTTTGCTATTAGTGTTCGAGACTGGCTGAAAGACAGCAGAAAGGGAAAGAAAGAGATAGGAGGAGAGGAATGTGACTCTCAGACCCAGCACCATGGCTCCAAGCTAGCCACAGTAAGGACTGCCATTTAAAACACCATTTCTTATTGTCTGAACACCAAACATGATGGTATAGGAGGCTGGGCCTCATCTGTGCTAATACCAGAATAACCTTTGAAAGTTGCTTTTTTAAAAGGAGTAAAATAAAGATTATTTTCAGCCTTTTCCTCACTCTCTTGTGAAAGGAGATTGGAATGGAAATACAAATACTCTAAGAATACCTCCTAGTTGAGTTTCAGTGAATCAGAGTCTTACAGAATGACCAAAGGCAGATGTGAACCTTTTTTTTTCTTCTCTTCTCTTCCTCTCTTCTGTTTTTTTCTTCTTTCCTTCCTATTTACCAAGCTTGCTCTGTTCTTTCTTCCATTTTATGTCCAAGAAAGCTCTGCCCAGTGTCCACCTGGCAATCTCAGGCAGAGGAGGGACTTGGGCATGAGGGCCCCTGAACTCTGTTTTCTCTGCCTGGTTTGAAGGGAGCTGGAGAGGCTGGCAAAGGAGATGCAAGAAAAGAAGCTACAGCAGGAGCTCGAGCGACAAAAGGAAGAGGATGAGCTGAAACGGAAGATCAAAAAACCAAAACAAGGACCCATAAAGGAGGAAATCCCCCTGAGGAAATCTCAAGTAACAAGCAAGCAGGTAGCAACACCCACTTCTCCCTAGTGGAGAGAAGATGAGGGCGTCTACTAGAACCAGCCAGTCAGCCTATCATATTTCCCTTCCAGAAAATTAGCCTGATCATATTTATGTTTTGTCATGGAGCAGAAGGTAGGAGGAAAGGGAATGACATTTGTTGAATGGTGATTGTATATCAATTGCTGTGCCTCTGTGGTACAATCGTGTCATTTTGGCATCCCTCATCATGCAAAGTTCAAAGAGATCAAGTCAGTTCTAGGACCTCACTCAATTATATCTGGCCATAGTCTTTCCTCCTTCCACTGCCCCTGAAGGCCTCTGATTGGTGCTAGATAGGCTAATATTAAAGATTTGCCTCCAGGAAGCCTCATTGCCAATGAGCCTGTGTGTTCAATCAAGAGCACACTGTAGGCAACAGTCAGGGAAGATGCTCCAGCATGAGCTTATCCTTGCAGAGAAGTGCCACAGGTTTTCAGCCCACCATGCTTAGCATTCACCTTCCTGCCCACTGTGAAGGGGAGGACAGAGTGGCTACAGGAGCCCCCAACAGTGGTGATCATGGCCAAAGGCTGTGACTAGCTGGTATGGGCAGCAGCTGTTTAAGCATCACCAATCCTGAGAGTGAAGCTGAAACCAGACTCCCAGACAGGATGCAGACCAAGTAGGTAAGTGAGAGACAGTGATAGTAGCTGGGTTGACATAAGGGCAGAGGAATCAGTGTGTAGGGGTCTCAACCACAGAGAACTCAAGAGGAACAGGGTCTGAGCACTCATAACTGGACACAGGTTGAGATGCCTGATGTTGCTGACCTGAAGGAAATATATGACATCTCAGGCTGAGAATAAAATGGAGTGTCCAGGAGAAAATTACAAGAACTGGTCCCTATCTCTCCTGGGTGATTTGTTCATGAAGCCAGAGAGGAGAAATCGAGTTGTGTTTCATCCATTCTTTTTGCAATTAACAAAGTCAATTTTTTAGAATAAGTTCAGAATAATCTATGCAGAAGTTATCTTTCCAAACTTGCTTTTAAAAGACATTTTATTCATCATTAATAGAAAGACTATTTGGAGCATGATAGCCTCAAATTATGCCCACTGATTTCATCTTCAGAGTCTCCAGCTGGGATCTGTTGGAACTTTTAAGTGGGAACATGTGAATTTCCCTATTTTATTTATGTAAGCAGTTTCACTACTTGGGATTTATAATGATTCCTGAATTTTTAGGTTGGGAACCATTAGCCACTAACTTTTCAAAATCGCTTCTCCTTCATTTTCTCTCCTCTCCCTCTAATATTCCAATCATACGTGTGTGAGGCCTTTTTGAAGACTCTTCACAATATTGCATATGTCTCTAATGCTTTTCTATGTTTGCACATTTTTGTTTCTCCCTGCTTCACAGTGGATATTTTCTTCTGACATATTGTCTAGCTCACCATCTTTCTTCAGTAAGGTCGAATCTGCTGTTTAAACTTCCTGTCAGTTCTTCATTTTGTTATTGCATTAGGAAGCTATTAATTCTGTTCTTACTGTTTCTAGTTCTCTTCAAAATTTTCAGTTCTCAATTGTCTTTCAATTCTTTCAACATATTAAACATATCTTTTTCAAATTCTTGACTAATCACACCAATACATGGATGCCCTGCAGTCTAGTCTGTTGTCTGTCTTTTGCTCTTGGTTTAAGATCACATGGTCTTGTCTTTTTAGGTGCCAGGTTATTTTTTGAAGGCCAGATATTGCACAGAAAAAACTAAAGAAATAATTTGAGGCTCTGGATAGTGTTATCTTCTCTAGAGAGAATCGCTGTTTGTTCTGACAGACAGCTAGGTTAGGTTAGAAGCGCTAGAAATCTTTTTTTTTTTTTTTTTGAGTTGGAGTCTCACTCATTCGCCCAGACTGGAGTGCAGTGGCCGCTCCCGGCCACCGCAGCCTCGACCTGCTGGGCTCCGGCGATCCTTCCGCCTCAGCCTTCCGAGTAGCCAGAATTATAGGCATGCGCTACCACGCCCGGCTGATTTTTTGATTTATTGTAGAGATGAGGTCTCACTGCCCAGGCGGGTCTCGAACCCACGGGCTCAGGCAATCCACTCACCTCAGCCTCCCAAAGGCACGGGATTACAGGCTGAGCCACCGAGCCCAGCTTCTAGAAATCTTAATTCAATCAGGACTGAGAAAATTATAAGCTGAGCTTCAGTCCACAGGAGGCATAGGCTGTTTCAGGCTGATCCTGACTCCTAATATGGATCCTTTCAGAGCCCTAACTCAGTCTAGGGGATTCACCAGAACCTCTTTTCCTTGGCAGGCCTGAAGTCTGATTTTTTGAACCCCAGCCCATGAGTCTGTCAACAAGCATTACTCAGCTTCTCAGCCACACTTTTTTCCCCCAAAATGCCCTTTAGGGAAAAGCAGCCCCAAATGCTGGGTCCGCTACTCTCCTAGAACTTAACCTGCAACTCATTATTGCCTTTTTGGCTTTGCAGTACTTTCAAACACATGAGCTCTTAAAATGTTTTTTGCAGACTTCCTACTTGTGTGTGTTGAATGTTATCAAATAATTTTTCTGCAGCCATGATTATGTTTATTTTCCTTCTTCAATCAGATCAAGTGGTAGGTTACAGATTACATTACTGAATCAGTTTGTTTTAGTATTAAAGATTTATTCAGCTTTTCTCTTGCTTTCCAAGTCAATTTGGTCACTCATGGTTTTCTTAAAAAGTATCCACTTTATCATATTTTTAGATTTATTGGCATAAGGTAAATCATGGTGTTATCTTACTATCTTTTAAATCTGTTTTGTATCTACAGTTATGTCCTCTTTATTATTTTATATGTTGTTTATTTGTACTTCTTTCAATTCTTTTTCTTTTTTTCTTGATCATTCTTGCTAGAAGTTTATCATTTCAAAAGAAATAACTTTTGCATATGTGGATTATCTCCATTGTATGTTTTCTATCTAATTTGTTTTTGTTCCTGTCTTTTTATAATTTCATTCTTTCTACTTTCTTTGTGTTACTATTCTGTTCTTTTTCTAACTTCTTAAGGTGGATTCTTATCTTATTAATTTTCAATTATTTTTTTCAAATTATTAAAAGTTATAAAAGCATTAAAAGATAAATACATTTCCAAACATTTAGATATATCCCTCAAGTGTTGATTTTCAATGTTTTCATTGTTGTTCAATTCTAAATATTTTCTATTATCCTTTATGGCTGCTTCTTTAACCAATGAATTATTTCAAAGTGTATTTTTCAACTTTCAAATGAATGGCTTCATTTTGGCTTTCTTTTTTTGGAGTTAGAGTATATCTTCAGAGAATATTCTATGTCATATTAGTCTTTCACACCTATCCAGCCTTGCTATATGGCTTCATATGTGATTCATTTTTGTAACTGTTCTGCAAGTATTTGAATAGTATATATATTTTTTTCTGCATCTATTCACTCAAGCTTATTAATCGTGCTGTTACAATCTTCTATACTCTTAGTCATTTATTATCTCTAGCTGCTCTATTCTGGGCTACTACAATCTTCCAAGTACAAGTCCTTCCCTCGCTGGACCTCACCTTCCATGTCAACCTGGATATCTTGGCAGTGGCTCTCCAGACTGAGAGTGAAACTGTGGGTGCCAGTCCCTCCTCACCCCAGACAAGCTGCAGTAAGATGCTAGAACTCCTCCATAATGCAGTTGTGCCAGCCTGTCATGTCGCTCCCTCCCCAGGCTGTGTTAGGAGATGGAGAAATGGAATAAGAGGAGGTGCAGTGAGAGGAAGGGAAAGCCAGCCCCTGGTCACTCATCCTCCAAGCCTGAAGCAGGCCTGAACTTAGGGGAGGAGAGGAGCTCGGCCTGGGAAGGGGAACACTGGGCAGAACAGACGATAGTGATCACTAGACTGAACTGAACTTTGTGTCAACAAAGAATGATCCAAAAAGCTACAGAACCTGCCTGAGGATTTCATCCAGGGGAGGGGAAAATCAGAGCCCATAAAGCAGTTTAAAAGGGCAGTAAGAACAAGAATAAAGTCGATTTCTCTATGCCCAATTCATTAAATAGACACATATTTTTTGAAGCCTGGGGTGAGTCAGATTCTAAACTCCCATTTGTTCCCAGTAATACCCACTATATATACAAAAACCTGTGTGGTCTTAATAACCTCACACAGGCACTGTTGTGAGCTTTTTACATGTATTCACATATTTAATTCTCAACAGTCCTCTGGAGTAGTTATTAATATTACTATCCTCATTATACGGATGAAACAGAGAGGTTAAGTCCTCACCCCAGGTCTCACAGCAAGCAAGTGCAGCCAGGATTGGACCACTACATGTCATGGCATATCCCAGGGCACCTGAAATCACGTCACAGAAGGCTCATTTTGCTGGTGTTTTCCCCTTGGTTCTTTAGAATAGCAGCTGTCAACCAGGAATGCATATTAAAACCACTCTGCACCTTTTTCAAAATGTGCAATGCCAGGACCTAGCCAGATCTATAACAGGGAAGGACCATGGAATGTATATTTAGATAAAAGCTCCCAAATGATTCTCAAGCACTACCTTAGTGTGCAAAAGAGGTGCCTGGATTCCAGGAGGCCTTCTTATGAAACAGTCCCTCGGCTGTTCCTTATACAATTTGCTCCACCTTAAAAAACCGTTTTAAGCATGTTTTCTGTGTTGTGCCTTCTAGGTTCTTCCTTTCACCAAACTAGAAATCAAGACAGAGACAAGCGAAAGGAAAATATCTGTCAGGGAGCAAATAGCGTCTGAGAAGGAGGAACCGAACAAGAAAAAAAAGAACACGGCCGATGGCAACATGCTTGTGTTTCCGCTGGCCCTGGACCAAGAAGACAGTGAAGGGGACCTCCAGAAAGACACTGACAAGCAACTGGCTCAGACATTTAAGGCCTACGAGTTGAGTCTGAAGGATGTCCAGAGCATCCTCATGTACTGGGACCGGAAGCAAGGAGTTCAGCTGCCTCACGCAGGGATGGAGGAGGTGCCCCACGAGCCAGAAGACCAGCGTCAGGTTCCCTCGGGTGGGCGCAGGGGCCGCAAGGACCGTGAGAGGGAGCGCTTGGAAAAGGAGCGAGCGGAGAAGGAGCGCTTGGAGAGGGAGAAGGCCGAGAGGGAGCGTCTGGAGAAGCTGCGGGCCATGGAAGAGCGCAGCGACGCGGAGGGGGAAGGAGAGGAAGATCGTGAAGGGAAGAAGGACCTTGGTGTGCCTTTCCTCAACATCCAGACACCAGACTTTGAAGGCTCCAGCTGGAAGCAGGCTCTGGAGAATGACAAACTTCCCAAATGGGACCAGGTACAGACTCCCTTCCAGGTAGAAAAGTAACAAATCAGGCGGCAAGTGCTGTGCTAATAATCATCAGTGGTGTTTCTAGCTAAAATCCAAATCCCCTTAATTCTATTCATCCTTATATCCCCCTTGATATTAAGATAGTTATGACTAAGGGACCTTTTTCTACTTGGCAAAAGAAAATCCATAGAAAGTTCCACAGATCTCAATTATTTTATCTCACTTTATAGAAAGTCACCCATACAGTTGATTTTTAATTTTGGCAATGCTGATGCTAATGGGGTAGCAAAGCAGGTATGCTTTGGGGTGAAGCAAGAGACCCATCCATGCCAAAATCACATTCCCACAAGCCTGGCACAGTGACAGTGATTATCCTATTAGTTAGCTTTTTGTTCCTATAAACAAAAGTATCGCACACCCAAAAGCTATCTTTGGTCGCCGTTTGGAAGAGAGGCTTATTATAGTCTTTTGTCTAGGGACAAACTTCTTCCATAAAGGATCAGAAAGTAAGTATCTAGACTGCAGATCATGTGGTCTCTGTCACAACAACTCAACTCTGCCTTCAGAGAGTGAAAGCAACTACCAGCAACATGTGACCAAATGTGCATGGCTGTGTTCCAATGCAAATTTATTTACAAAATCAAATAGCAGGTCAGATTTGGTCTGGGCTCCACCATTAGCTACCCTCTGGTTTAGTTTATCAGAAACTAGGCACAACCTTAAAAAGTAGAGAACAGAGCCTAGAAGGGATACCCAACAGGTCAGGGTTGATGAGAGGATGAGAGTAATCCCCCAAGAGGGCAGGTTTCAGTATAATGCAGCCTCACAATAAGAGTCTTGCCACAGTGGTTCTACGTGGCACCAAGGAGGGGAGGACATTGGAGGACACACAACACCAGTTCTACTCATCTCACAGTTTTACTGCCTGTTGGGTACAATGTTCACTATTTGGGTAATGGGCTCAATTGAAGCCCAAACTCACTATCACATAATAGACCCATGTAACAAACTTGCACATGTACTCTCTAAATGTCAAATTTTTAAAAAATCACCAGTGGGAAAAAAAGAAATGTTTTATGAAAAAGAGCTATGACAAGAACATCTTCTTGCTTTGTTGTATACTCTCTACCTTCCAAGTCATAGGGAAGGCTGCTGCTTGAAGAACGCCCTGGTTCTGGTAATTTCATAATTGGTACAAATTACTTATGCATCTTCTCACAGACATTCTAAATCCTGGGAAGTAACTTGGCTATATAGTACAGGAAATGCTCTTAGCTCCCTGACCCACAGGATGAGAAACACAGGATAACATGAAGGTAGTCAGTTACTTGCTAGACCTACCAAGCCTCGTGTCCATAGAATGGACACTCAGGTGGGCTATGACATTTATTACTGTGATAACAGCTACTAATCTAGGGACAGCATGCATATTCTGAGGGTCTTTACAATGCTGGGAAGGATGTTGCTACCAAATTTTCAACCCGTTTGTTCTAGAGATTTCTCATTCATGATATATCATCTCAAAATGCGAGAATGCTGTAGGAATACGTTTTCTCCCTCTCAAGTTTCTTCTGACTTCTCCATTCCCAATCTCTACCCCATTTCCAGAACCTTTGCTTTATTTTTTCTTTGCTGTATTTGACTTGTTCTCATCCTAACTTTCTTTCACCTTTGGAAGGAAGGAAACACTTGAAGCAAAAGAAAAATTGATATGAAATCTAAAAATAGATGGAACTCTATATTATTGGCATCAGAACCTTAAGAGCTGGTCTCTTCAATTTAAACAGATTTATTGAGTGCCTACTATGTGCTAGGCTATGTGCTATATCCACCTGGTTCTATCCTAATGGAGTCTACAGTCCAGTTGCAAAGACAGACAAACAATAAGATGTGACAAAGTCTATGATAAGAGAGGCATAGGACTGTGCACAGAAAATTAACAATGGCCCTTTCCTTTAGATCCTAGATATCTTGGGTCTGGGTTCCTCCGGACCACCCATCCCACCTCCTGCCTTGTTCTCAATTATCTCCTACCCTGTGAAGCGGCTGCCTTTGGTCACAACAGACATCCTAAAGCATTTTGTATTTGTGGCCCCATCATCTGATGAGCTCTCCCTGCTGGATGAGAAAAAAGAAGTGGACCCAGAGTCAGACTTGCTGACCTCCACAAGCACTACAAAGGTAAAGCATGAGCAGCTTGCTCTCCTACCCTTGGCAGGACTTCAGAGGGCAGGGAGAGAAGATCACCCTTCACGTGGCCACAAATTGAGTCTAGACTGAGGTGTGTTTCCCTCAACTTGTTGGAGATCCTAAGATTGTTCTACTTCCCAAGAGAAAACTAACAATGATTGATTCTCTTCTTCTGACCTTTCCAATCCCCATGGGAGGGTTTAGGGATCTTGTCAAAGGATTCTAAAGCTCACTTGCAGAAAAATAAGCAAAACCAGCTCTTTTACAAAGGTATTAAAATATATTTTGAAGCTAAGGTGATTCACAGTGTTTAAGAATACAAGAACCAACAGATGCAAGTTAGGGGAACATACACCACTGGAAAAGGATACCTTATTCAAAGAAATTGGGATGGGAAGATTGGATATTTTGGACAAGGTCACCGTTTATCTCCTCACCTGACACAATACAGTTAAATTAATTCCAGTTGGATTAAAATATAAATAATCAAAATAAAATCACTTAGTGATAGAAAAAAATGCCAGGGATGCCAAAAAAATGTATACATATTTTAAGAGACATTCATAATCAGAAGTGTCTGGATGCTGATGTTAACTAGTTTGAGCACCTTTTGTAATTGCAGAAGTCAAATGTGACTTGTATTCATCTTATTGAATATTATAATTTTAATAGTCTTTTCCAGCCGGGCTTGGTGGCTCAGCCTGTAATCCCGCGCCTTTGGAAGGCTGAGGTGAGTGGTTTGCCTGAGCCCGTGTGTTTCAGACCTGCCTGGGCAACTTGGCGAGACCTCATCTCTACAATAAATCAAAAATTAGCCGGGCGTGGTAGCACGCGCCTGTAGTTCCAGCTACTCGGAAGGCTGAGGCGGAAGGATCGCCAGAGCCCAGCAGGTCGAAGCTGGAGCGGCCACTGCACTGCAGTCTGGGTGACAGAGTGAGACTCCAACTCAAAAAAAAAAAAATAGTCTTTTCCTTTCTTAATATGTGTATACATTTTTGACACCCTCTGTATATACAATTTATAGAATAACCACAAAGGGAAATATTGACCAATAATGTGCAGAAATTAAAAATTATACAAGGGGGCATCCCCAAAAACTGGAATTTATTTATAAAAAATTGTGTATTTATTCTTGCATGTTTCAACTTCAATCACCTTCAAAGTGTTCTCCGTTTGATGAAATTCACCTATTTAGACACTTTTTCCACTGCTCAAAACAGCTTTTGAACTTGTCGATTTTGATGCCTTTTCATGTTTCTGCTGTTTTTTTGTTTCACCTGTTCCACATTGGCAAAACATTTCCCTCTGAGGACTTTTTTCATCCAAGGAAACAAAAAAAAATTGCTCAGGATGAAATTGGGTGAAAGTAGGGAGGGTGGGGCATGGGGGTCATGCTGTTTTGGGTCAAAAACTGCTAAACCCTCAGCACGGTATGAGAGGTATGCTCGTAAATCACCATTATGAAATGGGAAAACAGTTGAAAAAACTTCACTAAAGCCGATCACAGCCTCTCACAACAATGCTAGCTGATACACTGATGCTGATGCTTTCCTAAAATACTTACCTAGCAGGGAAAGCCTGTACTACAAGGAGCCCATCCACCAAAAAATAATCCCAGATTTTTGGGGGACTCCCCTCGGAGAGGGGCTTTTTATTCCCAAAGAAGAATGGTAGCCCACAATTTGAAGTTCTTCATACAACCTTCTATAAACCATACACACTACAGTTCAAATCATATTATTTTCTCCAGGGGTAGGGAACTGGAATAAAGGCCCAAAGAGAGCAAATAAAATCACCTGTAGTCTCTTCCTACAGTATAATTAGATGACAGAGACTATCCCAAACTTTAATTTACAAGTTGGTAGGAAATCAACATTTGAGGTCAACAGCTTTGTTGAGCATGCCTCACCAGAGCAGAGTCCATAGTGAAATTTCAAATTAAAAAGATAAAGAGGAAAAAAATCACTACTATCATCAGAGCTAACAATTGTACCAACCCTTATTCTGAAAACTGGCCATGAAGAAGAAAGAATTAAACATTCTTTAAGCTATCATTTTAGGAGGAACTTTAATTCTTCCCTAGTTGACAAATGAAAGCTGTTTATTCTAGAAGAATGGCTGCTTGCAATTATAGAAAGAAGGGTAGAATTAGAAAATCACTATTTTGTTAGCCCCAGTGAAACAATTGACTAAGGATCGTCAGTGGATGCAAAAATCTTAGGTGAAAAGCTGTCTGGGAACAAGATACTGACACTAGCCTGGACACCAGCCCACAGTCACTGGCAGCATCACCCTCACCACATGAACATGCTTTAAACTTGCCATCATGAATCAACCTTGTGTTACTTGTTCCCTGTTGTGATGGAGTATGAAGTCCCTGGCATCATCTATGAATCTAATCAAACTTTTAAGCTTTGTTTTCAGTTTGCAGGAAATACAGAGAATAAAGGAGTAAGTTAAATGACACTGTGAGAATGGTCAGAAAAATTCAGACTATGGGATATTCTATAAGGACACAGATCTAGCCTCTCCAAAAAATCAATGGATAGGAGGGTCTAGATTAAAAGATACCAAAGAAACATAACAACAAAATGCAACATAGGAACCTTGATTAGATACAAACCTGGGGGGGGGGGGGAAGGGCTATAAAACACATGCCTGAAGAAATGGGAAAATTTTAATATGAACTGTGTACTAGAATAATATTATGGAGTTATTATTGTTCATTTACTTAGGTGTGATAATAGTACTGTGGTAGTACAAGAGAATGTCCTTGCTCTGAGGAGATGCAAGTATTTAGAGGCAAGGAGTCATCATGTCTGCAACTTACCTTCAAATGACTCAAAGAAAAAGCAATAGATAGACTTGCCTAAATGGTAACAATTGTTGAAACTAGTTATTGCATCTTCTCTATTAAAAAAAGGTGAAAGTGATACATTAAAAGACCATAAAAAAGGAAAAATGTGATCAGGAAACATGAAAACACTATGAGAAAAATGGGAACTTCTTATTCAACATGGCAGATTAAATGCATGTGTTTATCTCTACTCTCACCCAAACAGTAAGAATTTTTTTAAGATATAAATCCTAAGAACAAAGAGAAGGGGAAAGAGGTGATGATGAATAGAATATGCCAGCAAAATATTGGAAAGTAGAAGACAAGTGAATGGGATAATTGACCTAGCAACACCAAAAAAGCTGGAAGCCCCACTGGCTATGGTAGGCCCAGCCAGGAACTAACACTTTGGCTCCCCGCCAGCTTCAAGCTTTCTCTGGGATTTTGGCCTTCTTCTCAGGGAACAGGGTGCCAAGGAAAACGCTGGTCTTGTCACTACCACATGAGGCTGAACCCTACTCTGCTCTAGGCATCCTGACCATACAAGCACCATCAGCCCAGACTGCAGGCGTGTTGTAGGCATTTCTGTCTTCTGTTTGCATGTATATAAGGTGAATATTTAAGACTTTGTGCTCATTTAATTAAGGCCCAAGAGGAGCAGACCACTTCATCTAAGGGGAGCAGACAGAAAATGAAAGAAAAAGCAGAACAAGTTCGCGACAACCAGAAGGACAAGCGTCGTGTGCCCTTTACCAGGAAGGTCCTTTCTGGGGTAACTACTGGAACCGTTGCCCCCCTGTCAGACATAGACCAGAATAACTTCAGTGGGCAGCACTCTCAGGAGAAATTTATCAGGTGGGTTTCCCAGCAACCCAGGGTGGGGGAATGCTAAAGCCCCAAATGGAGGGTGCAGCTATCATAGCACCAGATGGGAATGAGGTTGTCCTTCCCCATGTGGGGCCCCATGGGCCACCATGCCCAAGTCCAGCAGGACAGGACTTCTCCCAGGCAGCTCTCCTGGCTTTTCCCACTTTAAAAATCTGCATGGTTATTTGCAGACTGAATCACTTCCGGTGGATCGTGCCAGCCAATGGTGAGGTAACATTGCGTGTGCATTTCTCTTCTTCTGATCTCGGGAACTTTGATCAAACTTTTAACTTTGAGATCCTTGGAACTCGCCGCCAGTACCAGCTTTATTGTCGAGGTGTCTGCACTTACCCATATATTTGCCAAGACCCAAAGTAAGTGAATTTCATTTTAAAAGGCAACATTGACAGGTACATTTTAATTTCCCCATGGCACTTTAAGCAAGGCGGCTCTTCATAATAATGTGGCGTTCTCACTCATATAATGGACCTTGAACATCCAATGTAATACTATAAGAAAATGACTGATGGTACTGGGAAACTATGGGGGGGTGGGATTAACAGTAGCAAATATCTGTCTGGGGATGGGGAAACACCTCTTATCAACAGGGTGCCTGAATGAAACATAATTGTACACCTAACCCTTAACTATACCCCACAAAACCATAATAAAAAATATTGATTAAAAAAATAATAATAATGTGGAACTGGGTAGCATCCCAGAACCTCTTGTTGGACATTGACTAAGAGCCACAGGGATGACATGATATCACGAGGTGTTTCTAGATGGAGATAAAGAGGATGATAATAGAAAGGATAAATAAAATGGTAGGGGAAAACGTCTTCCTTTGGCAAGTTAGTTTGCTTATTTAACTATTAAACAAATATAAACCGTTTTTATCCTATAATAATTTTTCTCTGAGCTATTGAACACCACTGTGCAACTTGTGCACTACATGAAGTTCCCTGACTGAGCAAGCTAGCAGGTGACTCCCCCTGGAGAAGGGAGCCTTTATGGCTTGTCTACCCAGAGGGGTTTTTTTATGATTCTCAACTGAAGGGCCACATTGGACCAAGGAATTCAGAAGCTAACTAATGCCTATCAGAACTAGTTTTCCATAGGGATTCTCAGGAATTTTTCTAGCTGGGCGCACTAAGATAGAACATCCAACTCAGCTCTATGACCAGCCTTCATTGTGGAAGACACTACTGGGAATCTTTTTTCTCAAGTTCAAACCATACTATCCTCTCTGGAGGTGGGGGTGGGCTGGGATAATGGCTCAACAGAAGTTCTCAAATTAAGCCCCTCTGTCTTCAAACATCTGGACCCCCTGCTGAACAGAGGGTATTGGGTTCATGTAAGCATCACATGGAAGCATTGAATTTCTGTTCAGATAGCCCCTCTGCACCTCTTCCTCCCCTATGTTCAGAATGGTATTCCCTCAGTGGAAGATGGACATGACAGCAGATGAGGTCATCTTTAAGAAGTATATTATAAGCATGGAGAGGTTTTACTTCGGGCCACTGCTTTGTGGAAAATCAAGAGATAAGTAAGTGTTTCATTATTTCAAAGCAGACTTTAGACTCCTGGGTTGGGCTCATGAATAGTACAAGTAGGGCTCTTATGTATATAGATGTAACTTTTAATAATGTTTGCTCAATTAGCCCCAAACCACAAATCAGGAGAACTGAGTTTTTGTGTCCCAAGCTTCTGCTAAGCAACCAGATAAATCAAGGTGCCATTTTCCCAAATGGAAAATCTGAAAGAGGACTAGCTTTCAGAAGAGTAAGATCAGAAGTTTACTTTGGGATATGTTTAGTTTGAGATTCTTGGAAGATATCTCTAATAGCCACATAAAGCAGGGAATAGGTTATATGGTTTTGATTCTCAAAGAAGAGGTCTGTCTTTAAGACAACAAAGCCATAGGCAAGAATGACCTTTCCTGAGAGAGGACTTTATACTAGGAAGAGAAGCATCAAGGATGGAGTCTCAAAGAACTCCACCACACACAAGAGGAGGAGCCAACAAAGACGAGAAAAAGGACCAGAGCCCTTGGGGAAACCAGAAAAGGTGGTGTCATGGAGCCATGAAAAGAGGGCACGGTCACTACATTGAATGCTGTAGGCAGGGCAGAAAGAAGAGGGTTTAGAGATCCACAGGGTTCAAAAACATAAGGGGGCCTTAGCAAGAGTCCTCTGCCCAAGAAAAGTGAGTTGAGTAGTCTAAGGGAAGTGAAAGAATGGAGACAGGATGTGAAGATAACTCTTTGGAGAAGCCTCACTGTGAGGGGAGATGGGAGAGACATGGAGTCCAGGGAAAGCTGTTCTACACTGTTGTTCTTACAGTGTTTGTATGCCAAGGGGAAGTAGAAGGAAGAGTTTGGAGTTTCAGGAGAAAGTCAAGGCCATCAATGAAATAGCACAACAGGATGTGAGGATGCTGTCCTTTGCCAGGAAGAGGGACTGTCAGTGCATACTACTAGCGGATAAAGATGAGATGGCGTCCAGTGAAGGAAGGTTTACAGATTTAGTTGGAATGGGAAGGAGTTTCCTATGCAACTATGTCTGTTTTTCCTATGACAAATGATGTGAGGTGATCCCCTGAGAGTGAAGGAAGTGAAAGAAGTTAAAAAATGTTGAGGAAAGTATGAAAAACAGTTTCTGTGGAAAATAAGAGAAGGAGTATATTAGACAAACAGATTGAGATTATCTCTCAGGCAGAATTAGGGGCCCACATGAGATTGATGATTATAAATTTTTACTGATACTAACTAGTTTTTTTCAGTTATATACAAATTTCCTGTCATATAAGCAGGAAATAAGACCAATGTCTCCAGCTTGTCTCCAGACAGCAATGATTGTGCTAACTAGAGAGAGTCTATTTCTGTGCTTCCTTAGTAGAGATTATGGGCCACCTTTGTCCTCTACTCCCTCCTTACCTCCACTTTATTCCCTGAGGTGTTAGACTGGGAAGTGAGGAGGTTAATGATGGAGAGGTTCTTCAAGGCCCAGTGGAGGGGCTAAGGAGGGAGAAGGGGTGGGAATCAGGTTGATGGACATGATGTACTGAGCAGGCTGAGGGTGAGTCAGGGAAGGGATAGTTATTCAGAGAGATACATGTCTGGGGCAATGTTGGAATTAACCAGAATGTGGGGTCAGATGACACCGATCTAGGAGAACAGCAACTTTGTTGACCCAAAACAAGGCCTGGTGCAACTAGATATTATTCTTGTATTCTTGTAAACCTTGCTAGGCTTCAGTGTCCTCATCTGTAAAATGGGAAACTAACAGCACCTACCTTAAAGATTTGTGGGGACTGAACTAGGCAATACACATGAAACTTTTACTGCTGGATGGCAGTGATTGTCAGCTAGATGTAAGGGCCACCCTCCCCTTTGATAGTTATTCATGCAGAATTCTTTCTGACTCTGTCTTTCTGACTCTGATTTAGTCTCTGTTGTTCTCTTCCCTTCTATTTTCCATCATGCCCGTACAAAAAGTGTTTTAGACTGTTTTCTGCTTTCCTGGCCTATTCTGTGATCTCTGACAATGTACATCTTTATTCCTTGTGCCTTCTCCTATGGTTCCTTTTCTGTTCAGTTACCATTAACTGGGCATCTTCCAATTCCCACAGTGCTCAACTCTGTGGAGCTCTCCCTAAGGTACCAAGGAACAAAAACCCCTCAGAACAGTGAACAAGGCCAAATGAACCCATTTGGGGTAATATTTAACATTCTATGAGGGTGTGGGAGGAAGTGGATGAGGTCATCTCAAAGTCAGATGTGAAATAACAAGTTATTCAAATGATCATATCTCCTGGGGATACAAGCACATGGAAGGATAGATATGCATATTTCTCGGTTAGAATTCTTGGCAATAATAATAGTTACTGTTCATTGGGCATTTGCTCTCTACAGCTGTCATAAGAGCTTTGATACATGATCTCATTTAATAGGCAGCAATCCTAGGAGGTATTATCATCTCATCTTAGAGATTAGAAGACTAAGGCTTAGGGGGCTCAAGTTGCAGTGTAACATTTATTCTAGATGCGAGTCTGCACACCCACAAACCTCATGTTCTTAGTCACCATGCCACTGCCTCAGTGCAGCCACACTGTCCCTTTGAACCACCTTGCTCTTCATAACCTCCTTTTCCACCTATGTTCACATTCAGTCCTCATACCCACAGCCGCATTCTTATTCATTCTTAGGTACAAGTCATCCCTGTTCCCAGGCAACATGGAGATGCTGACAATCTTAAACAATTCCCCAATGATGGTGGAAGTGTTCTTCTGTTTTCAGAATGATGTTAAAGCAAACACATACTTCCTGGAGCCGGCCAACATGATTCTGAAACCCAATGAGAAGCAGGTACAGTCACATGAAAACAAGCCACCAGGGCAAGGCTTTCTGGGATATTTAAGGCTTTCACATCTTTAGTGTAAATGTACTTTCTTTTGACTCTTCCATCAGATGCTAAACATATGGGCCTACCCTACTGCAGTTGGTGTCTTTGAAGATAGCATTGTCTGCTGCATCAAAGAAAACCCAGAGCCAGCCATCTTCAAATTAAGCTGCCAGGGAGTTCGCCCAGAATTAGAGCTGGAACCCAGGCAATTACATTTTGATCGGCTCTTGCTGCACAGGTCAGAGTTCTAGATAATGTCAGGACTGGAATGGAATTTTAAGTACATTTAGTTCTAGGGTGATAAACTCGTCCTGATTTACTCTGGATTTCCTTGGTTTTAGCACTGTAAGTTCTTTATCTTGGAATACTCCTTGGTCCTGTGCAAACTGGGATGGTCAGTAAACCTATTTAGTTAACAGATTGTTAACCTGGGTTCAGTGGATGGACTTCAACAGGGTCGAGGACTCCCTTAAAATCAACCACTAAAGTCTGTGTATGTTTGCATTCTTTTTTCAGAAGAAAATCTGGCTTTCTTCAGGTTCTTGAAGTGGTCCATTGCCCTAAAAGTTTAAAAATTTTTGGTGTAGGAGTTAGAGTACAAGCAAAGAACATTAGACCAAAACTAGAACTTCCATATTCATTCATCAGATCGCACTTATTCTAAGTAGAGATGTTTCTTTGGGGGGGGTTCTGGGAAAGAATGTTGTTATGATATGTATTCTGCATTCTGGGAAAGAATGTTGTTATGATATGTATTCTGCATCACAATCAGGCCCCATTTCCTAATCAATATTGATGAGTAAACTAAGTAATAATTGAAGTAGCCAAAAGTGCTTTTTCTGACCTCCGTGGAGAAGTCCTTATTAGAAGCAACTTTGGTAGTCAAGCAGATGATCTGATCTGTAGCCAAAGTCTTGCCACTATATCTGTTACTCTGGGCACATCAATGAATTTCTTTAAGCTTCAATTTCTTCATAGGTCACCTGAGATTAATAATATCAACTCTATTTCACTTTTGACAGTGAAATGCATTCTACCAATGTAACATTATTTTCAGGAAATTGCAGCTGACTACCTCAGTTTATCCATTTTTTAAAGTGTTATTTGCTGAACTCGGTGGCCCAGCCTATAATCCAAGCAATTTGGGAGATTGAGGCAAATGGATTGCCTGAGCCCACAGATTCAAGACCAGCCTGGGCAACTTGGCGAGGCCTCATCTCTGCAATACATCAAAACTTAGCCAAGGATGGTAGTGTGCACCTGAGGTTCCGGCTCCTTGGAAGCCTAAGGTAGAAGAATTGCCAGGCCCAGCAGGCCCTCTGTGGGAATTTTTCTGTCCTCTTAATAAATCCTGCTTTCTCAAAATAAAAAATAAAATAAAATAAAAGTGTTATTATTAGATCATGTTCAGAAACCAAATGGCAGTCTTAATAGTGGTAGTCCTGAGTCAGTAGATAAGAGTTAGTTGTCTTCCAGGCACCAGACTAGTCCAGTTCAGTGTGCTGTATGAACACTGTTAGTGATTCTAGCTTTTCAAATTACAAAGTCTCTCTTTAAAAGGTATGTTGCCCTTTAATGCTTAGAAGTTTACACTTAGTATGAATATTTGGCTGCTAACTGAAAGCAATGTTTTGAGAGAAAGTCAAGCAGATAGCACAAGTTAGGATATTTGCTTCAGGATGGGAGAGAGGAAAGAGAAAGTCGATTTTTCAAGATCAGGGATACTTGACTTTGATTCAACCATATTCTGTGCATATTTACTGCACACCTGCTGGGTCACACAGTGTTGAGGGACCATTCTAGCCACTGAGGAGTTTGAAGTCTGGTGGGGAAAACAAGCAGGTAAACAACTAATTACCTAATGCAAAGCAAGCCATCTTAGGCATATTAATGTTGAGTGATCAATAGAAACTGACCAAGGATGACCAAGATTTTGGAATTAGCAGGCACTAAGACATTAAATCAACTATTATAAATATGTACAACCTAACAGGGAAACATGTGGTCAAGATGAATACATAGATTGAGACTCTTATCAGAAAAATGGAAACTATAAAAAAGCACTAAGTGAATATTTTAGAATGGAAAAATACAACATCTAAAGTGAAAATTTTAAAGAATGAACTAATCAGCTGATTGGCTGCAGCAGATGAAAGATTTAATAAACTTGAAGATAGATTTACTATAAATTGATCAATCTGAATAATAGAAAACTACTGGTAAAAATGAGCAGAACCGCCGGGCTTGGTGGCTCAGCCTGTAATCCCGCACCTTTGGGAGGCTGAGGTGAGTGGATAGCCTGAGCCCGTGGGTTCGAGACCCGCCTGGGCAGCGAGACCTCATCTCTACAATACATCAAAAAATCAGCCAGGCGTGGTAGCGCATGCCTGTAATTCCAGCTACTTGGAAGGCTGAGACGGAAGGATCGCCGGAGCCCAGCAGGTAGAGGCTGTGGTGGCTGGGAGCGGCCACTGCACTACAGTCTGGGTGACAGAGTGAGACTCCAACTCAAAAAAAAAAAAAATGAACAGAACCCCAGTAAACAGTGGAACAATATCATGCAGTCTAGCATATTTGTAACTGGAGTCCAAAAAAGAAAAGAGAAAGAAAGGGGCAGAAAAAATATTTGAAGAGTGAATGAAATGCTCCCAAATTTGGCTTAAAAGAAAGAAATAAAGAAAGAGCATAAACTTACAGATCCAAGAAGGTTAGCAAGCCCTAAGCTGGATAAATATAGTTATAGTTCAAGTCTTGCCACTACATCTGTGACTTTGGGACCATCAATTAACCTCTCTAAGCTCAGGTTTTTATAGGTCATTCTAGGTTAATAATATCAACTCCATGTATTTTATACAACAGATTAAAGAAAGAAAACCACATCAAGGGAAAGTACAGTAATATAGTACAACTAATTAAAAAACCAGGGATGAAAAGAAAATCTTGAAAACAGTCAGGAGAAAATGACATTCATGACAGACTTCTCATCAGTAGCAATGGAAACTGGAAGACAATTGAATGACTTTTTTTCTTTGATTTCTGTTTTGTTTTTAGAATGACATTTTTAATGTGGTAAAAGAAAATGCAACTGACCCTTGCCAACACAGGCTTGAACTGTGCAAGATTGCTTACACATAGATTTTTCAACAAAACATGAACTGAAAACATAGTATTTGTGAGATGTGAAACCCACTTAAATGAAGGGTCAACTTTTCATATATGTGGGTTCCTCAGAGCCAACTGCAGGACTTAAGTATGCATGCATATGGGTATACTCAGTGGTCCTGGAACCAGTCTCCTGCATATACTGAGGATAATTGTATTATCAACCCCAAATTGTATGTCAACAAAAATATTCTTCAAAAATGAATAAAAAAATACATTTCAAGGTCTACAAAACTAAGAAAATAAACTGCCAGCACACATGCATTACAATAAATTCTAAATAAAATTCTTCAAGCTGAAGGAAAATGATATCAGGTGGAAATGTAGACCTATAGGAAGTAATAAGGAAGCACTGAAAATTTTAAATATGACCGGGCTCGGTGGCTCAGCCTGTAATCCCGCGCCTTTGGGAGGCCGAGGTGAATGGATTGCCTGAGCCCGCGGGTTCGAGACCCGCCTGGGCAAGTGAGACCTCATCTCTACAATAAATTTTTAAAAAATTAGCCGGGTGTGGTAGCGCGCGCCTGTAGTTCCAGCGACTTGGAAGGCTGAGGCGGAAGGATCGCTGGACTCCAGCAGGTTGAGGCTGCAGTGGCTGGGAGCGGCCACTGCACTCCAGTCTGGGCCACTGAGTGAGACTCCAACTCAAAAAAAAAAAAAAAAGAAAAGAAAATATTAAATATGTGGCTAAATATAAAATACTTCATTTTTTTCTTTTCTTGATTTAATTAAAAGACTACTGACTAACACAAAAGTATTGATGTTGCATTGTGAGACTGATAATGTATGTAGATGATATGCATATTGACAACATCACATACAATGTGTGATGGGGTATAAAAGAAAATATACTATTGCAAGGATTACATTTTACATGAAATGGTACAATATTAATTCTAAGTAGACTGATAAATTAAGGATATATATTGTAATCCCTTGAGCAACCACTAAAATAAAAATAATGCAAAGTAACAAAGATCTGAATATCACATGTTCTCACTCATAAGTGGACCTTGAACATCTATCATAATACCGTAAGAAAGGAATTGACAGTAGTGGGAATCTATGGGGGGGACAGGGAGGGCAAGGGTGGTGGGATTAACTGTAGTCAATATCTATCTGGGGATTGGGGGACACCCCTTATCAACAAGGATGCCTGAACGATGCATATTTGTATACCTAACCCTTAACTGTACCCCACAATTTTAAAATAAAAAATATGTTTAAAAATTTTTTTTAATTTTTTTAATTTAGCTTTCTACATGCAACCATGTTAATGTAGATTATTCATTTTTCATCATTTTCTGATGACACTCAAATATGTTTTTCACACTTGTGGATGAACATTTGTATTGTTATTAGTACTTAGCTATAAAACCTTGATGACATTTTAAAAAATAATAATAATGCAAAGCAATTGAGCTAACACAAAGGACTAGATTACTAAATCAGATCCACACAAATAAGAGATCTTACCCAGTATCAAGCTTTGCTAACAATACCAAGGACACAAAAAAATCAAAAAGTATAGATGAAGAAGAAAGATGTCTGGGACATCTTTTATGACTACCCAGGTCCCTTCTTTTCACATCAGTCATATACTTTCTGGCCCTGTCTCTAAATGAGGTTTGCAGATCACTTCCCTCAGCAGGGAGTATTGATTATAAAGCACGTATATTTCAATTCCCAAATGGTCACTTAGCTTATGTGACATTTTCTAGAGGTTTGTGTTACATAAATCCGAAATCTAACTTTATTTACATAACTAATTTTAAATCAAGAACATCCTTCTAAGATTCCAAATATAGGGAATATTCTTCTAGAAAATATTATTAGTCTATTTACCAGTAGATCCTTTAACATCATGTCACTTGCCTTCTTTTTCCAGGAGCATATCCCCAGAATCAAGAGAAATGTATCACAAACCAAAAAAGCTACACTAGCAATATAGCTAAAACGCCAATAAGGGAATTAAAAGATAATATTAAATGTGTTTGATTAAACCAAAGAAATACAGGAAAGGTGGAAAAGAAAAATGAAAGCAGATGGGACAAAAGAAAATGTAAGACAAAAGAGATTTTAAGACAAATATTACCAAATATAAAAAGGAACACATTTCCTAATAACATAAGGAATTTTATCAGTTAATAATGAAGACATAACTTTAATATATGTAAGTGTGCTTAATAATAGATCTTCAAACTATATGAAACAAAAACCAATAAGACTAAAGAGACAAATAGATAATCATGATTGGAAATATTAATACCCTTTTCTGAATGACTATTAGAACAATTAGTCCAAAAAAATCAGAGGATCTAAACAACACTGTCAACTACTTTGATCCAATTAAAAATTTAAATTGAAAAATAAATAAAATTTAAATAACACTACACCCAACACCTGTAAAATGAATATTCACAATAGAGTGCTGAACCTTAAAACATGTCTCATTAAATTTCAACTGATTGAAATCTTACAAAGTATGTTTTCTGACCACAATATAATTAAGTTATTGCCAAGTTTCTGATTGTTGAGGAAGGGAGTTATAAATACAGGTAGATTAAAATGTATCTTGTGATATTAAATTGGAATTGGAGGTATCAGTATGAAGTCATGATTTTTAATATACAGGTAGATACAGAAACACAAATACATGCATGTGTGTGCACACACACACACACGCACACACATATTTCCAAGCTCTGTCAGGCCTGAAACAATGATATACCAGTAGCAATGAGTCCACTAACATCCAGATCCTGTTTTCTAAATATCATTCTCCATTGAAGAGAAACAAGGCTCTGTGGTGAAAGGCTCTTTTCCCTCCTGGAGCAGGGAAAGCACAGGAAGGATCAGATGAGCAGGAAACCTTTTGTCACACCAGAAAGTAAAAAAGTACTTAAAGAATCATGGAAACACAACAAAAGGACATAGGAGCCAATTTGAAGGGACTATCACTTGCTAAATCTAGGACAATTTGAATATCAAAATAAACAGATTATAGTAATGGATTGTAACTTACTGAATAAGAATCCATGAATTGTACTGAAATAAATAGATAAATGCATAATGAATGAGAGAGAATGAGATGCTCTTCCTGACATTAGAATACCAACATATATATATATATATATATATATATATATATGGAAAATTTGATGGAGTTATATAATAATCAATTGATTCTAAAACTAGTGAGTGAAATTTTGACCTGGAGTAGGATAGTTTACATAGTCTCAGAGTATCTCCCCACAAATTACTTGTTGTTTATAAAGGAAAAAATAGTAAATGCACAGTGGAGAAACCTGGTGAGCATCATCTTAACCACAGCATCAAAACTAACATCACTAATATTGGCACAAACTGACATCATGGGACTTCTGATACGATGCATTGAGAAGGACACACCAGCAACTCTGCAGTATTCCTGCCAAAACTGAATATCCTAAATCTAACCATGAAGAAGCATCAGACAAATCCAAATTAAGAAGCATTCTACAAATTAGCTGGCCTATACCCTTTAAAATGTCAAGATCAAGGAGCACAAGGAAAGGTAGAAAAATATAATCCTCAATGAATTAATTTATATTATTTATGTTACCAAATGTAAACTCATTTCTCTCAGTTAATATATCTACTTGTACAACTGATGCTTGTGAGGATACAGACAAAAGAGAATGCTTCTACACTGTTGATGGGAATGTCAACTCTATCGAAAACAGTATGGCGATTCCTAAAAGAACTACAAACTGACCTTCCATACAACCCAGCAATCCTCCTCCTGGGTATATACCCAGAGGAATTTAAATCACTCTACAAAAAAGTTACCTGCACACACATGTTTATTGCAGCATTATTCACAACAGCAACACATGGAACTAACCGTGCTGCCCACTGAAACTGGACTGAATAAGAAAATGAGGTATATATACACAATGGAATATTGCGCAGCCATAAAGAAGGGCAAAATTATGGACTTCACAGCAACTTGGATGGATTTAGAGTCTATAATACTCAGTGATCACAGAAACATGTTCTCACTCATAAGCATGTTCTCACTCATAAGCAGACCCTGAACATTTACCGTAATACTATAAAAAAGGGATCAGCAGTAGCTGGAAACTGCCTGGTGGGGGGGGAGACATAACATCAATAGGGGTACCTGGTCTCAAACCAGGCTAAGTGGGGACCAAGGGGAGGTCCAAATGTTACCTATATGATGACTACTTGTATACCTAATTTCAAATTGTATCCCATCTTTAAAGTAAAAATAAATAAACAAATAATACATCTACTTTTAGATTAAAAGTTTAACGTAGGAGTTCTTGGAGAATTTCTGCATTACATTTGTGTTATTAAATGTTCATTCAAAAGCATTTCCTAAAATAAAACAACCTATTCTAAGGCAAAAAATAAAAGACAGAAGAAATTTTCCAAATTAAAGGGGACAACAGAGACATGACAATTAAATGCAATACATGATCCCAGTTTGAATCCTTGACTGGGAAAAAAATAGCTATAAAAATTATTGTAACAATGATGAAATTTGAATATGAACTGTGGATTAGATGGCACTGTTGTATTACTGTAGTGTTAAAATCCCTGGGTTTAATAAGTGTTCTTGTTCTTAAGGAATATGCACTGAAATATTTAAAGTTATCACCAATTTAATTTCAAACAATTCCAAAAACATACCATTCGGTATGAGAGACAGAATATGAATGTAAAGCAAAGAAGTCAAAATGTAAACAATTGGTGAATCTGGAGAAAGTGTATAGAGGAATTCTTACAGCTCTTCTGTAAGTTTAAATTTATCACATTTAATTTGGGCTAATTTATACATGAAAAAATTAAGAATTATAATTAGCTCAGCCCTGTAAGCTAAGATACCTAAATAAAACAAATAGAAAAGAAGGGTTAAGACATTTTTTTCAACACCCACACACAAAAGAGAAATTGGTTTGTTTTTTTTTAATAATTTGCAACTACAAAATTTGAAAAGAAATTTCAACTTTTTCTTTGACTCTGCAGAAAGGAATCCAAGATAGTTCTTCTCCACAATGTCACACTCCTGCCCGTGGCCTGGCGGATCACCAGCCTAGAGCACCTAGGCGATGACTTTACTGTGTCCATGATGCAGGGGACCATACCCCCGAGGGCTGCGTATAGCCTGCACCTGCATTTTCAGCCCTCCAAGCCCGTCAACATCAAGAAGGCTTTCCGGCTGGAGGTGAGGCTTCACACATCTGCTGGCTCAGTTATCAAAGTGTGCACACATTGGACATACACACACACACACACACACACACACACACACACACACACACAGAGAGCCAGGTCTCCCTGTTACATGCTTCCATCTGATCCCTGTTCAGTATCCCCAGTCCACAACATCTTGCTATGCACACAACTGCAAGCTCCCTGATTTCCCAGTGCCAGGAGCAGAGCAACCCAATCAGTGTGGAATGAATGGGTGAATAAATGGATGAATGAATGAATGGTGTTTCTATACCTAGGCAAGCATTAGATTCCTAATTTTATACCTTCAGACCCAGTCACCTATCAGCTTCCTATCTCAGTAAATGTCACCCTCCACCCTGTGTCTCCCAATAGATACCTGGGAATCAGCTGCAATATCCCCCTTTCCCTGACAGCCTCCCTTCCAACCCAGTCCTCCGATAAACTTTGCTAAATCTGCCTCCCAGCGTTTCTCCTTCCCATCCTCTTCTTTGTCAACACTAAGGCCACTCTTGTCTGGGCCACCTGCAGCATCTCTCACCTGGACTTCCTCAGGGTCTTCCTGACTGGTTTCCCTCGTCACATTCCCCACAAGTGTCCAGAGAGATCTTTATGGTGTCAACCAGATCAACTACTCCCTTTCCTAAAGCATTTTGCGGGCTTCCCCCTGCAGTAAGAATAAGCCCCAGTTCCAAACCTGCTTCTGAGGCCCAGCCTGCCTCTCCATCCTCAACTCACTTTGCCCTCACCCTCACGCATTGGCTCCCACCTGCTATTGTGCTCTCTCCCATTTCAGGCCTGACCTTGCTACAACCTACTGGGAATGTGTCCCCAGGTTCTGTAGGAAGTTGGCTCGTGCTTTAGGGTGTCCTAAACATCACTGCTTCAACTAGGAACCCCTCATCATCCCATTGCAAGAATTCTTTCTATGTGCAATCACTCAACGTGTCTTCTGTCCTTCAGAGCACTGCCACTCTCTGACATTATCCTGTTCCTTTCTTTACTTCCTTGTATGAACTGCATAAGGGCAGGATCTCACCTATCTTACTCACCCTCTGTATGAGTTTCCTGTGGCTGCTGTAACAAATTACCACAAACTGGGTGCCTTAAAACAACAGACATTACTCTCTCACAGTTCTAGAGGCCAGAAATCCAAAATCAAGGTGTTGGCAGGGCCATGCTCCCTCTGAAGGCTCTAGGGGAGAATTCTTCTTGGCACTTCCAGCTTCTTGTGTCTGCTGCTAATGTCCCTTGACTTGTGGCTGCATCACTCCCATCTCTGCCTTTGTCATCACAATGCCTTCTCCTGTCTGCATCCTCTCCCTTCTGTCTCTTATATGCTTATCATTTAAATGAAGGCCCATCCAGATAATCTAGGGTGATCTCATCTTGAGATCTTCGACTTAATTACATCTACAAATACACTTTTTCCAAATAAGGTCTGGAAGTTAAGAAGTGGACATACCTTTTTGGGATCTATCATTTAACCCATTAGCCATCATATTCCCAGTGCCTAGCACAGGCCTGGATGTATAGGCACTCAGCAGAATCTGATGAATGAATGAATAAATGTCATTGACTTCTAATACTTTAATTGATTCTACAACATTCAAGAGATCATCTCAAGCTTCTCTCTGAATACCTTCAGGGACAGAAAACTTACTTCCACTCCAAGCAGCCTAATCTCCCTTTAAATAGGCCTGTAAATTCTTCCTTAGGTTGAGTTCAAATTCTTTCTTATAGCTTACATGCGTGAATCCTGTTTCTACTTTGGGGGCCAGTCAATAGATCCAATCTCTTTTATCTCTTACCTATGAGAGCCCTTAAGATAACTGAAAACAGATATTGATAGACTCGTTCAATCCACAAATGTGTAGAAGCCCACAGGTGATGGTCAATGCTTTAGCACCAGTCTCTGCACAAGAGACGTAGGCTCATGGTTGCTGTAGGGACCTAGATTCCCCCAGCTGTGCCAGCTTTATTCTTTAGTTGCTGGATCATGGAGAGTCCAGAAGTTCCCATGGTGGGGGGTGGCACAGGAGGTAGGCAGCAAAAGGACACTTGGAGAGATCATCATGACAGCTGTTTGCCAGCTAGTATGGAGACATTTCTGTATTTTAACAACTGCTGTCACCATCTCTGTGTGTTTCAGCCAAACAGCAGCCTGATTAGGTCTCTGCACGAAGCAGAGTAGCTCCCCCTCAAGCCCCCCAATGTGAACTGCAGCTTCTCTTCCTCAGACTATATTCCTTCAATAACTACAGGAGGAGATACTTTCCTTTCTGCTCCCTTTGGAATGCATTCCAGTGAACTTGTTTTATTTTATTTGCATACCTCTTAAATCGTCCCTCCTATTTTCTTCAATTACAAATTTTAATCTTTCTTCCTTCCCCTCAGTGGGGAAGCAAAGGAAATAATGTGTTCTGGGTACTTAATATCTATCAGAAGAAAGATGCTGTGTAAACTCCCTTCTTGTCATCTCTGTCAGAAGGCAAGCAGCCAGAGAAAGAAGGGAAAACTCAAGTAAAACATTGGCAAAAGTCTAATGAAGGAAAAGACAGAAATTCTGAATCAAAACATGAGTTTGATGACAGTCACAAATTTCCCCCTTGACACCCAAATCGTATGCAATGGAGAGACAGTGACTTGGATTTTCAGCTAGAGGCCTCAGAAAGACAGAAGGGCTCCACGCAGATACAGGAGAGCACACCAGCTCTTTCCCTTCATAAATGCACCCTTTATCGCCCCCTAATTAGTTCCAAGAGTCAACAGTTGGGTCAGGCTGGCAGCTGCAGCAATTCAGAGGTGCCTCAGGACAGTGATGAGGGAACAACTGACAGGAATGACAGCAGAAGGGTCAGCGGACAACAGGAGTCCAGGGTCCTAATAATATCCACATACGTAAAACACTTGACATTTCCAAACATTAAACACTTACTTCATACTTTTTCCGTTGGCTGACCCACGAACAACGAACAGAACAATTCAAATAAAAAATGAATAGGGCAAGAATGAGAGTATAAAGGTTTTTCATTTCAAATGTCAGAACAACGCTTTTCAAGTTTATTTGATTTAAAGGTTTAAAAAAGAAAACACTTTCCTGGAATGTCTACTTACAGCCTAGACTTCAGTAATGTAGTGACTATCATGCAAATAAATTAAGCCTAATAAAAGGACACATGAAAAACGCAGTTTCTCTTCCTGTATTGTCTACACCAGCATTCCCCAGAGGATGTTAAGAAGAGCACTATTCCCATCAAATGCTGGGTGAGGATTACAGACCTACAGCTAGATACATTTCAAAAACATTCCCTACCATATCCCCTCCATGATTCCCACTGCATGTTACATGTCCCAGGCTCCAAGAACCTCACAGATCTTGCTTGTACTGAAGAATTTCTCTTACCCTGCCAGGTTTTAGATGCAGAAAATCTTCTTGGTGTTGTTCAGATTGAAAATATCATGATCTTCGCAGAGTCATATGACATTGCCTTGGACATCACCTTCCCTAAAGGTCTGTTGGGCCCGTCAGGAAAAGAGTGGTTAGAAGTTGTGTCTTTTTGTACAGTATATTTCTAGGAAGAGAAAGGCTAGTGTATTGCTAGTATTGTGGTGATTGGGAGGGCAGGGGGCGGGGCGCAATTTCGGTGTAGTAATATGAGCCCCAGAGTGGTGTTAGCAGCATTACTACAAATCATAATTTCTCCAACTGGAGATAGCAAGGGAGTGGTCATAAATATGAAATTTAGCCGGGCTCAGTGGCTCAGCCTGTAATCCCGCGCCTTTGGGAGGTTGAGATGAGTGGATTGCCTGAGCCCGCGGGTTCAAGACCCACCTGGGCAACTTGGTGAGACCTCATCTCCAAAATAAATCAAAAAAACTAGGCGGGTGTGGTAGCGCACGCCTGTAGTTTCAGCTACTTGGAAGGCTGAGGCAGAAGGATCACCGGAGCCCAGCAGGTCTAGGCTGCGGTGGCCGGGAGCGGCCACTGCACTCCAGTCTGGGCGACCTAGTGAGACTCTAACTCAAAAAAAATAATTAAATAAATAAATAAATATGAAATTTGCAGAGCTCTTTTCTGAGTAATTGTTTGACAGTAAACAATTGTCTTCCTGCTGTATTTTTTTTATCACTGCCATTAAAAATTGCCACAAACTTTCTGGCTTGAACAACACAAATTTATTACTTAACAGTTCTGTAGTACACAAATCCAAAATGAGTCTCACTAAGCTAAACTCAAGGTGCCCACATTCCTCAGTCATGGTCCCCTTCCTTCATCTTCAAAAGCAGCAAGGCCAGGCCAGGTCCTTCTCAATGCTGCTACCTCTTGGGTTCTCCCATTTCGGCCTTCTCTTCTGCACTTAAGGACCCTCATGATTATATTGGACCCACTGAGATAACCCAAATTAATCTCTATATTTTAAGGTCAATTAATTAATTCCATCTGCCACAAGAATTCCCCTTTGCCATGTAAGGTAGCAAATTCACATGTTCTGGAGATTAGATGGCAAGGGTAGAGGGACACTTGTTCTATCCACCACACTGCCCTAATACATGTTATGTCTCTCCCTTCAACATGCAACTTTCCATTTTCCTCCCTTTCCTGATTGGTCTCCTTCTCAGCAAGACTCATAGAATGTTTGAGCCACATATTCACTTAGGTGTCATTAGTCTCACATACAAAGATCTTTTATTGCAGCATTGTTTATAATAATGAAAAGTTGAAAATAATCCAAATGTCTATCAATAGTGAAATAATACTATTATAGTAACAATATTGTAAATTATGGAACAGCCATATCATGGAATATTATACAACTACTAAGATCACAGTTATGAAGAGTTTTTAAGTATTTGGGGCAATGCTTCTGATGTAATGCTAAGTAAACAATGCAAATGTGTGTACTGTCCCAACTGTAAATTATAAGCTTTATATAAAATGTTTTTAAGTTCTAACTAATGGCAGGCATGAAAGGACAGTAATCCTAGGGTGGAATCCAGAGGGAACCACCCCGTTGAGCGGGGACCAAGAGCAGCATCTGTTGATTGTTTGCCAAAACTCAATTATAAGAGTCATTTCTAGCTACAGTGTTTTCAGAAAGCAAATTCTCTGAAATTGTCACCATGGATTTTCTGTGAGAACTTCCCCTGATTCCCATACCCATTCACCCCCACCTCTGGCACCTGTCCTCTGCAGGAGCTGAAGGAGGCCTCGACTTTGGGATTGTGAAGGTCATGGAAGAGGTGAAGCAGCCCCTACAACTGAAGAACCGTGGAAAATACGAGATTATGTTCAGGTAACTCGAATCCCATCAGGTATGTGGCCATCACATTTACTCTTGGGGAGAAGAGTGTGCTATGTGGGAAATTTGTTGTTTAATCAATCAAGGAAGTCATAAGAACCATTTCTGCTTTTTACCTCCCTTGACTTCAGATGAATGGAATTCCTGCTGCTAAGAGAGCAGGGACTTTCACACTGCTGTCAACTCTGCAGCTTAACAAGGGCCTTTGAGGGCCTGGATGTACTTGGAACCAGAAGTCAGGTCTGGGGTGGAGGAAGAGACTAGGGGAAAAGGCTTGGAGGGACAGATGCTGGGAGTGAGAGGAGGTCCTGAGGGTAGAAGGAGACTGGAGATGGGGGACCTGGCCCCAAGCTGTCCTGGCTTAACTGTTTTACAAGGTGGCCTTCTGCAGGAGATTACACGTAGATAAAAGGTTTTCCTTTTTTTTTCTTTAATTTTAAGAGCCACTATACTATGGAACCCAAATAGTGGCTTTGTAGATTACAACTCTAGCTTATGCTCATCTCTTAGGACTAAAAATGAAGCACAAAATCAAGGAGGTTCCTCAGAGAGGAAAGGGGGGCATGGGGTTCAGGGTCCCTCAGCAAGGCCACATATCCCTTCAAACATGCCAGCCTTCAGGCCCGTTCATTTCTATGAAAATTCATCCTGCCCCCAGAAAGTTTCATGGTTGGCAAAGGGACTTCCCCTCTGCAGACTTGGAAGAAATTCAGTGTATTCATGATAATTTATGCCTATAATCCCAGCTACTCAGGAGGCTGAGGAGAGAGGCTCACGTGAACCCAGGAGTTTGAGTTCAGCTTGAGCAGCATAGTGAGACCCCCACCCCTTAAAAAAAAGAATGCTGTAATTAGAGAGGTCTCCACCTCAATGCTCTCATTAGTTATAAGCAGTGAAACTGTATGCTGAAATAAATAAATATAAATGAAAGTCAGACAAACCCAGAAAATAGCCACTGTCACTTTGGAATTAGGCTAGATGGAATCTTGCCCTTTTGTGAGTTTCATTTTAGATTATGAAGGGGCATTAGCTCTGCTCTTTTAGGTTGCATGGAACAGAGTCACCATCAGGTTGGAACAGGTGATCAGGGGCTCATTGAAAGAGGATGTGCAGGGTGATGAGGAAGCACATCATACAAGCAACTGAGGGAGCAGGTGTCCTGGAACATGGGGATGACATATGGACCCCCCACAGCAACCCTAGGTGTCCCACCTCCACTTAGTTTCCTTGTACTTACTCCAGTCTCTCTGTCAGGCTCATGAGTCAGCTTCTTTCTGTGGTTCTTACCCCACCTAGGTCAGGCCATAGACTTCCCATCCTAATGTCTCTGTTGCATGACTTCAGCTCCCGTCTTCTGCTTTTTCTCTTTACATCCTCTGGTTTCAGTATCACTGTTTCCTCTATGTATACTTCCTCAGTCTCAGAGAAAAAGAGAGGAAGAGAGGGAAAGAGAGGGGCAACAGAGGGAAGAGGGTAGAGGAGAGAGGGGAGAAGGATGGAGGGATGGAGAGAGAGAAAGAAAGTAAAAGTGAAAATGAAAATGAAAAGTTCATTTAGTTGATTTTCTTTTGGTATCAAGTGTCCCTGTTGAACAGAGACCTGAAAGAGCACCTCTTGACCACAGGATAGAGTATGGCTATCTTTGCCTAAAGCATCAATTCCTGACCCCATCAACCCTGGTCAAAGAGGGGATGGCATAGAGTACAAAGCACAGTAGACACTGCTGGGCATAGTGGTTGAACAGGGCTGAAGACATGGTGGGCACTCAACAGTCTAATATCTCCTCTCTAGTATCTTGGGTTCCCTAGATAAACTGACTTTTTATTCTTGTCTTTCAGCTTTTCTGTGGACTCCTTAGGTATTTCAGCAGCCAACGTAAATTCCATGATATCAGTCCAACCCAAAAAGGGCTCACTGACCCCAACAGAAAAATCCACAAATGTCCAGGTATTCTTTTGTGCAAAAAAGGAAGTGAAGATTGAGCACCAGCCTGTTCTGCGCTGTCAGGTAAGAGAGCTCAAAGGGAGAGGCTGACTCAATGGCAGGATTGTGGGCATACTGTTGAAAGGATACATGATCTAATCCATGCTCCAGCAGGGGAAAGGAAGAGTTGGTCTGAGTGGCAACCAGATAGGATACATCAGAATTTTGTCCCAACTAGCAGGCATGGTTGGATCCAGAGGGGAATTTGCAAGTTCATCAAAAACAAAGAAAGCCAGAGAGGAAGTGTGCCCCTGAGTCTTTGTGCAGCATTAGAGTCAAGGAAGCTGGGTCCTGTCATCAAGTGATAAAAACAAGAGGCAAAGTTGGTCCATATTGACCCTTGACTGGTGCATGATATGCTCTGTTAGTGTTTGTTAATATCATCGTGGATGCAGTGATACAAAGAGTGAAATGAAGAACTTGGCTTCATGTTAGTGATGAAAGCAGCAAAGGAGTAGATAGATAATCATGGGACCTCTGTAGCTATACCAATGACTGACTTCCTAATTCTTTTTCCCTTTCTAGGTTATTGAGCCCAATATTGCAGAAGGAGGTGAGATCATTGCCAGTATCCCGATTAAGTTTTCTGTGAATGCTGTTTACTCTAAATACAACATCAGTCCCTCCTCCATCATCAACTTTGGAGCTTTGATCTGTGGCACTCGTAAAAGCACCACCTTAACAATAGAAAATCAAGGCATCACTGACTTCAAGTTTGCCCTTTACAGACTGACAGGGGAAAGCCCCAATCATCAAAAGAAAGTGTAAGACAAGTGTTTATATAACTCGTTTCATTCCTTGGTTAATTAATGCTCTATGGTTTACAAAGAACTTTTGTATATCGTATCTAAATTCACCCAATCCCCATTAGTGGGTAAGGTCACTAACATTCAGAAATGGCTTATCCAGGATTATGCAAGATACCACCAGTAGATCTTTGTTCTGAACCCACCTCTTCTAACTCCAGATTTCATGTTTTGTGTAGACTATATAATACTATATAATACATTTTAGTCAAACACATGTAAAATCTTCTGCCTGGGATTTTGTCTGTTGTCCTGGTGCTTCTAGTACGCTGAGAGACTTACTAGATCATGGTCCTGTCTATCATTCTATAGGCTGTCAAGGGACTATTATGATAGCAAGCTAAATCAAAGAAGTTGTAGTTGTGCTTCATTATGGGGGATGCCAAAGACTACCCTGTAAATATGGAAAAGAGAAAGTGTGGTGATATCTTCAGTCTACCAGGGACTGTTATTGCCTTCTCCCCATGAAGACACTATCACAACAGCTACCTTAATAGTTGTTCCAACAATGAAACTCTATGTTCTTCAAAAGGCGGCTCTGATTTCACCAGAAACAATTGACCTTTTGAGTGCTTTTAGCCTCCCTTGAGCTGTCATATTATTAGGGGGCCAAATATTGATGATTTTACCAATTCCCTAGGTATTACTGATTTAATTTTGACTTTCTATAATTGTTTTAAATCAGACATACAGCTTTACGTTGTTTGTAGTTGTTTCATATTTTTGTAACTATTCTTTCTATACTGTCAAAATTTGAACATTTTGTACAATCTGAGGTTAAATTGTCTAAGATCTCTTTCTTCCAAATTTAATCTCAGCTTATTTTTTACAATTTACTTTATAATAATGTAATAATGTTTATAATAATTACAATTTCACTGTGTTTTGCTTTCAATGATTTTTATTTTATTTTTTATTTTAGCTTGCACAAATTCATGCAAGACACATAAAAGGGGGTTGAACTTCAGGTGTTCTGGTCATTAAGCAAGTGAATGCTCGAACATGTTTAAAAACATATCTCAAAAATTTAAGATGTACTTCAAAAAAAAAGATGCACTTCAAATACATTTGAATATTTTAGATGAACTGGTCTCTAGGCAAACTGATTATTGGATAAACTAGCTTCAAGGGATGTGAACAGTTACTAAAGCCTATATTTAAATACTGCTTATACTAAATCTTAAAAACATCATACCCATATATGAGAAGAAAGGAGACAGAGCTTAATGTATTTGCCATTTTATTTTGTAAATGAGATTAGGTGAAAGATTTGATATCCACAGGTAATTTTCCACACACTGCTTTCCAGTAAACTCACGAAGCCTTTTAAATTTTATTATTTTCTTGCAGTAATTTTCAATGTCCTTATAAATTTTATTTGATAAGTATAATTACTGCAACTTTCCCTAAAATTGCTAAATGAGTTTTGTCAGTGATTAACAAGCTAACTGCCTACTTCAGTGCCCTCGTGGGCAAAGAAGGACACCTTTCCCCATTCCTAGGAGAAGGGCCCTTGCAGGCATACAGTTAGATGGTATCTAATGTCACCCCCCAACTTGAGGGTATTACTCCTGCTTCTTTAATCAGAACCAGCCATATCAGACATGCAAGATCCCGGGAAAGCGAGAGCTTCTACAAGTCCGTTCCTTCCAAAGCAGCCAAGTTCTCTGATTCGACTCAGAAAGAAGTAAACATCACAAACCAGGTAAGTGCCTGATTTCTTGCTCACAGACACCCAATAAGGCCACTCCCAACTAGCTCTCATCACCAAATACCTCCCTTAGCATAACAGAATTTGAATCTACTATAGCAGGAATATTAAGTAATTATATTGAAATGTGACTTTCATTTTAAGCTAAAGTGTTATGACCTTTAATTTGGATATCCTCTTTTGCTTTAAAACCTTCATTGGCTCCCCATTGCCTTAAACTTATTTTAACTCTTCATATGTACTTTAATCAAGAATCATTTGTTTATAAGAAACAGAATCTCATACAAACAGGTTTAAATAAAAGGAGATTTGAGGACTTCTGCTTCTGGTAAGATCAAGTGGATATACTTTTCCATATTCTTCCCAACAAAGTAAAACTAGAAATCCTGGCCATTATATATAGAACAAACTATAGACTCTAAAAGGTAGAAGGAAAAACCCGGGCCAGCCAGGGTCTTTGGGACCCAAGGAACATCAAGGTGATGAGTTCTCAAGTTTTATTTTTGCTTCATATATTCCAGACTGGGCACCGAAAAAGCCAGCAACCCTGACACAGACAAAAAAAAAAACAAGCCCCAACAAAAACCTACCCCCATTAGCCCAAGGATCATGAAAAGGGCAGCCTAGAAAGAGAAAACTTTTAGATAGTAATTGTTCTATTCCAACCAAACACCAAAGAAAAATTGCTGACCCTACTCCTCCCCTGCTAGCAAAGGCCAAGTAGGGAGTCTAGACTTCCACTCTATCCAAGCTGTCATGAGATGCATCAACCACCTTGCCAGGGTGATGTCAGAGAAAGTTAAGTGGGAAATCAAGACTTTTATTCCCACCACATAGTAATGAGGACCCCCTACCACCTCAACTGTTGTTTACAAGGACACCACATGGGGAACCTTGACTTCTAACCCAACCCAGCAATAATGGGTCATTCCTCCCCTTCCATTGCTGGAATAGTATCAGAGGACTTCTCCATCCCCTGGGTATTAGTGGAACAGTAAAAAGGCACTCTTAGCCCTCCCTAACAGGGAAGTATCAGTTGAAGACTAGTGGGGAGCTAGAACACCCAGCTCTGCCCAGTAGTGATGAGGAGTCCAAGCGGGGAATCTGGACTACTGCCCCCACCTGACAATAGCAAGGCAGTAGTACCTTCCCTTCCTCTGCCAAAGTAGTGCCAGCTCAGACAAAAGGTTTAAATAAGACCACTCAAAATGTCCAGGTTTCAGTTGAAAATCACTCATCATCCCAAGAACCAAGAAGATCTCAAACTAAAGGAAAATGGACACTGGATAACAACATTGAGATGACAGAAGTGTTAGAACTATCGAATTCCACTCACAATAGCCACACAAAAACTTAAATACCTCGGCATTTTCCTAACCAGAGACCTTTTCAATGAGAAATACAAAACACTGCTCAAAGAAATTCAAGAAGACACAAACAAGTGGAAAAATATTCCATGCTCATGGATAGGAAGAATCAACATTGTTAAGATGTCCATCCTACCAAAGGCAATCTACAAATTCAATGCAGTACCCATTAAGCTACCAACATCATTCTTCTCAGACCTGGAAATGACAATACACAAATTCATATGGAAACATAAACAACCACGAATAGCCAAAACAATCCTTAGCAAAAGAAACAAAGCAGGAGGTGTCACACTTCCAGACTTCAAACTTTACTATAAGGCTACAGTATCAATACCTGGTATTGGTACAAGAACAGGCATATAAATCAATGGAACAGAATAGAGATTCCGGAAGCAAAGCCTCAATTTCTCAACCAACTCATCTTTGACAGTCTCCAACAGCAACCACTGGAGAGAAGAGAACCTATTCAGAAAATGGTGCTGGGAAAACTGGCTTATCACATGCAGAAGATTGAAACAGGACCCCTACCCATCACCATACACAAAAATTAACTCTAAATGAATTAAAGACCTAAACATAAAACCTCAAATTATAAGAATCTTAGAAAACTCAGGAGACACCCTTATGGAAATTGGAACTAGCAACCAATTCCTGATCAGAACTTTAAGTGCCCACATCTTAAGAAATAAGATAGACAAGTGGGACCTTATCAAATACTGAGCTTCTGCAGAGCAAAAGAAACCATCAAGAGAGGAGGGAGACAGCCCACAGAATGAAAAAATATTTGCCAACTGTCTAGCTGACAAAGGCCAAACATCTAGGATCTACAAGGAACTCAAATGCGCTGAAAGGAAAAAAACAAACAGCCCTGTTAAAAAGTGGGCAAAAGACATGAATAGACACTTCTCAAAAGAAGATATACGGACAGCCAACAGACACATGAAAAAGTGCTCAACCTCACTTATCATCAGAGAAATGCAAATCAAAACCACATTGAGATACCACCTAACCCCAGTAAGAATGGCCATCATTAATAAAACAAACAACAGATGCTGGTGAGGATGCGGAGAAAAAGGAACGTTTCTACACTGCAGGTGGGAATGCAAACTAGTGCATCCTCTTTGGAAGACAGTGTGGTGATTTCTGAAAGAACTAGAAATTGATCTTCCATATGACCCAGCAATTCCCCTATTGGGAATATACCTGGAGGAACTCAAATCATTCTACAAAAAAGATACCTGCACATGTATGCTTCTTGCAGCTCTATTCACAATAGCAAAAACATGGAACTAACCATGCTGCCCATCAGAGCTGGGCTGGATTAAAAAATGTGGCACATATACACAATGAAATATTATGATGCCATAAAGGAGGACAAACACATGAACTTAGCAGCAACTTGGATAGATTTAGAGTCCATCGTACTCAGTGAGCTATCACAGAAACAAAGAACAGAGTACCATATGTTCTCACTCATAAGCAGAACTTGAACAGCTATAATATTATAAGAAAGGGACTTGCAGTAGTGGGAAACTGTCAGGGGAGGGAGGGTGAGATTGGCAGTTGAGGGAAATTCCCAGGGGAGAGAGGGACACACCTCATCAACAAGGGTACCTGCATAATCAACATTTGTACACCTAACCCTGAATTGTACCCCACATCTTTAATATAATAAAAAAGGTAAATAAATAAATATAAAAATGAATAAAATAAATTTTAAAGAGAATTCTCAGAAAAGACAACCAACATAAAAATGTTTCAATGCACAATTATAAGCATCAATGGAAAAAATGAAAACATTATCTTAACAAAAAAAGAGAAGATAAGAGAAGAACCAAATGGAAATTTTGGAATTGAAAAATAAATAACCAAGATTTAAAATTCAGCAGATGGTTTCAACAACAGAATGGTAGGGACAGAGGAAAGCATTCATGGATTTGAATACAGACAGTAGGAATCCTATTGTTCCCACCACAAATTACCCCCAATTGTAGCTTAAAACAATGCAAATTTTTTGTCTTGCAGTTCTGTAGGGAAGAAATGCTGAAATCAAGTTGTTGGCAGGGCTATGTTCTTTTCTGGAGACTCCAGGGAATAACCCATTTCCTTTTCTTTTCCAACTTCTATAGGCTGTCCACATTCTGTGGCTTGTGGTCCCCTTCTACCATCTTCAAAGCCGATAAAAGTGAATCAAGTCCTTTTCACATCACATTACTCCAGCTTCCTCCATAGTCACAGCTCCCTCTAGCTCTCTTCTATCTCTAAGAAGCCTTGTGATTATAGAGGGTCCATGATAACCCAGGATAATCTCCCCATCATTGGGCTCTAAATTTAATCATGTCAACAAAGTTTCTTTGCCATGTAAAGTAACATAGTAACAGAGTCCAGAGATTAGGATGTAGACATCTTTGGGAGACTGTTATGCTGCCCATTCTAAACAGCAGAGAGAAAATAGACTGTGTTTTGAATCTATTGAAAATCTATTTGAGTCTGAGGCAGAAAAAAAAGAATGAACCATGTATATAAGAATTATAACAAAAGATCTAATATTCCTGTCTTTGGAGTTCCAGAAAGTTATTTTTTAAAAGAGAGTGGAGCTGAAAGTATTTAAAGAAATAATGACTGAAAACGTGGGGCTGAAAAGTATTAAAGAAATAATGACTGAAAACGTTCTAAATTTGGCAAAAGAGTTATTGATAATGGCCATTCTGACTGGAGTTAGGCGGTATCTCAGTGTAGTTTTAATTTGCATCTCCTTGATGATTAGTGAGGTTGAACATTTCTTCATGTGTCTGTTGGCCGCTCGTATGTCTTCTTTTGAGACGTGTCTGTTCATATCTTTTGCCCACTTTGTAATGGGGTTGTTTGTTTTTTTCTTTTTAGCATGTTTGAGTTCCTTGTAGATCCAAGATGTTAAACCTTTGTTAGACATGGAGTTGGTAAATACTTTTTCCCAGTCTGTGGGCTGTCTCCCTACTCTCTTGATGGCTTCTTTGGCTTTGCAGAAGCTTGTCAGTTTAGTGAGGTCCCACTTGTCTATCTTGTCTCTTATGGCCCATGCGTTTCGGGTTTTGTTCAGGAATTGGATGCCAGTTCCAATTTCCATAAGGGTGTTTATCAATAACTCAAAAAATAACAGATACTAGAGAGGATATGTGATGAAAAGGGAACATTTCTGCACTGTTGGTAGGAGTGTAAACTAGTGCAACCTCTGTGGAAAGCAGTGTGGCAATTCCTAAAAGCTCTAAATATCGACCTCTCATATGACCCTGCAATCTCCCAACTGGGAATATACCCTGAAGAACTCAAATCACTCTATAAAAAAGATACCTGCACACATATGTTTATCGCAGCATTGTTCACAATTGCAAGAACCTGGAACCAACCATGCTGTCCATCAAAAGAGGACTGGATTTTAAAAATGTGGTACCTATACACGATGGAATACTATGCAGTCATAAAATCATGAACTTTACAGCAACCTGGATGGAACTAGAGTTTATAATGCTGTGTGATCTCTCACAGAAACAAAGATCTGAGTATCACATGTTCTCATTCATAAGTGGACCTTGAATATCCATCATAATACTATAAGAAAAGGATTGACAGTGGCAGGAAACTATGGGAGGGCCGGGAAGGGAAGGGAGGTGGGATTAACGGTAGTCAATATCTGTCTGGGGATGGGGGACACCCCTTATCAACAAGGATGCCTGAATGATGCATATTTGTATACCTAACCCTTAACCGTACCCCACAATTTTAAAATAAAAAATATGTTTAAAAATTAAAAAATAAATAAATTTGGCAAAAGATATACACCTACAGACTCAAAAATCTCAACAAACCCCAAATAGAACAAACCTAAAGGAATACATACCAACACACATCATAGTCAAACCTCTGAAAATGAAATACAAATTTTAAAATCTTGACCACATTGCGAGAGAAATGAATATTGAATGACAGCTGATTAAAAACCATAGAGACCCAGAAAGAAGTGGCTTAATATTTTGCAAGCACAGAAAACACAACTGTGAACCCAGAATCTTATATTCAGCAAAAAAAAAAATTATCAGGGATAAATGAAAAAAATTAACTTTCTCAAATGAAGGAAAACTAAAAGATTGTCACCAGTACACTTACCCTAAAAGGATGGTTAAAGGAATTTCTCTAAAAAGAAAATAAATAATAAAAGAAGGAATCATGGAACGTCAAGAAGGAGGAAAATACACAGTAAGCAATAATATGGGTATATTCAATAGACTTTCCTTCTCCTCTTGGATTTTCTAAGCTATGTTTGTCAATTGAAGCAAAATTATAATGCTGTCTAATATGATTTTAAATGAATGTAAAGGAAATATCTTAGATAATTACAAAAGAACAGGGTGAATGAGCAATTGTTAAGCAAGACAGTAAATATGATAATTGAGATGTGTGTAAAGGGATAGACTGCAGAAAGATAGAAGAATGAAGTCTTGCTGTTCCTGGTAGCTGTGAAGAGTCACTGAAGACTTCACTATGGAGAATGTGTTTGATTTGAATATCAGAACTGTGTTTAGTTGCAAATAACAGAAAATCCAACATTAGTGGTTTAAATAAATACAGTATATTTAAATAGAGTAGGCAATTGCTGGTGTTGGTTTAATAATTTATTGACATTTGTGATTCTCTTGGCCTTTCCCTCATGGTTCCAAGATGGCTGCTGCAGCTCCAGCCACCATATCTGCATTGAAGGCAAAAATAAGAGAAGTAGGTACTCTGTACTCTATGAACACCAATAATTATTGATTGAATTGAATTGGGTTTTCTATATGTTTTTTTAGAATGTCTTTTTAGTAGTTTTCTCTTCCCAACAGAAGCCTTCTAATTAATTGACATACATAATTTTCCAAATGTTTCTATAACTTTGATTTCTTCTATAGATATTTACATATATTTTTTGCCTTCTTCACCTACTATATCTTCTCAGCCTTCAATGAAATCTTCTCCAATACCTTTCCTTTCAATTTCAATGCCTTGTCCTCTCCTCCACCTTGGCAACTCACCCTGGATCTCATAGGAAATTGAGGTGCTTCTGAACTCTTGATGCCCAAGATTCCTTTCTCTGACCACCATTTCCCTTTCTCCCAGCTTGCTAGGTCAAGTCCACTTATTTCAGCTGTTTTTTGCCTTCACTGTGACCTTTCTGTGACCTTACTTGTACCATTTTCTAACTATCCACCAACCTTCCTCTTCTCTAAACCTGGATGATTTATCGGGTAATCCTAAGTGCCCAAGACCTCCTAGCATATAATAGGTAATTAGTAAGCAGTAATCAAGTTAGGTAAATAGTGGCTTTCATGTGTGCCTATGCCATCATAATGCACAATGCTAAGGGCTCCATCCACATAGACACATATATGAAGAGTGTCCACTTGAGGTATGCAGTGTACCACCTACCCAGCCACTTACAGCGGCCATGATGAGAATTGGGGAAAGTTCCTGATATCCTGAAGAATCCAGAGTCTACGTCTGAGCATTGTCAGAAAAAATCACTTTCTAACATAGCATTATGATAAAACATGCCCAAAAGGATTTGGTGTGGATGGGGGGACAGGTCAGTGGAGAGAGTTCATCTCTGAGGGAAAGACAGACAATTCGGTTGAAACTCCATCAAGCACAAAGTCCACACCCACCCCCTTACCACTGTGGTAGATTTCAGGATGAACTCTCCTTTGTTTGACTATAGGCTTCCTGGAGCCTTGAACCAAAATGAGCCAAATAGCTTCTTCCTTCTAAATCCTACCCCAGATCTTGGATCTTGCCATTGGAAGAAATGGTGTAGGAGCCCTAGAGAGGCATATTCTAAGTCAGACTGCCCCTTGGCAGATTTCTGAGACTGAGCAAGAAGAGGAAATCTCCAGAGAAGTGCATGCTGACTGTAAAGCAGAATACCATGCATCAATATCAGTTTCTAGGAGAGGAATACAGTGCACCAGTTATCAGTCCTAGGAGAGAAGTCCAAACACCTCCTCAATACCATACACTGGTATCACTCTCAGGGAAAGATTCTAACCATCTCACTGATGTCTGTTAGGGCTCCTAGATCTAGCAGGAAGTCCTGCACAAACCTCAGCTGCCAGTTGAGTTTTGCACAAACCAAACTCCCAGAGTGTGAGACCAGTGAGACAGAACACTCACACAAGTATGTAAAGCAAGTTTATCATTCATAGATAGTAGCAAGAACAAATAGAAGCCTAGGATTCATGGCGAGCTGGTCCCCTAAGGTTCAAGAAAGTTGCCTAGGGCAGATAGCGTCTTGCCTGTGTGTGCCTCTCTTCACACTGCAGCTAAGCGACCCCAAAATCATTCCGACCTGGGTTTTATACCTCAGGGAAAACATGAAACTCTAGGCTAAAACATGACAGGACATCCTACTCTAGGAGGGATGAGGACAAAGCCTGAGTTGTTCTGGACAGTTCTTTATCTCAGAGCATTGTATTCTCAGCACAGTCTATGTTATCCTGAAAACTACAAGCAGGAGGAAGAAAAGCTAGGTCAGCCAAGGACATCCAGGGACCTGCCCTATTGCACCAACACCCCTTTTTTTCAGCATTTATTCTATGCCAGATGTGATGCTACATGCTTCACACCTACTCTTTCATTTAAGTCTCCAGCAATCTCTGGGGTAGTAGTTTCAGTCCTATTTTATAAATAAATAAACTAAGGCTCAGAGAAGCAATTTGTCCAAGGTTGATCAGTTAATATTTAGCAGGGCTGGGATTCAAGCCTGGGAGAATCTGACTCAAAAACCCATAATCTTAAATACTACTCTATTCTGCACCCCTTCTACCTCAAAATTCCCATGTGGATAAATGTTAGATGATGTGGAAACAGTCTGTACCCTTAAACCTTCAGTTTAAACATGATTGATCAGAAGAAATGTACATAGAAGGAAGCGTTGAGAGAGCCTATCCATGAAGACTTCACCCCACAGGCCCTCTGTCCCTCTAGGGGGACAGGAGCAGGGGCCCAGAGAGGACCTGTGAGAAGAGGTCCCACTTGTCCCTCTCAACACCATCTCACAGCTCTATTGGAAGGTCTCAAACTCTGCCTCTATCCCACCCACCCCTTCCACCCTTGTCCTGCAGGCCCGATTCTCCCATGGCATGTTCACTGTGTACCCTGGGTTTGGCTCCATCCCTTCTGGAGGACAGCAGGTCATCACCATTGACTGTGTGGCTGACCCCGTGGGAAAGTGTGAGGAGTTTATGGCCATCGATATCTCCGACCGAGATCCTACAGACCAGCCTGCTGGCATTCCTTACACTCTTTTGGCTGAAGCCTGCCTGCCAGGTACTGACCACTCAGATTGGGCAGTACCACTTAAAAGGTCTTCATTTGTGACTCACCCCCATCCACACACACTTCAGGCAAATTTCTCTCAAGGTGTCTAGAAGATATGGCTGGGTTGCTTCCTTTGGGACCTTAGAACATCCTCTAGTGTTTTCAGTCATATTTTTCCCCGGCATGCATACCTAGGGGAAGATGCACAGCTTCAAACCCTAGCCTTCCAGAGTCTGGTCCTGGATTCTCAAATAAATAGTGTTGTCTGTGCAGAGAGAACTCCTCTTGCTTTGAGTATAGGCTCCCTGGAGCCTTGAACCAAGGTGGGCCAGTTGCCTCCTTCCCTCCAAAACCCACCCCAGATCTCCAATCTTACCATTGGGAGAAAAAGGCTGATTGGGGCATGGCAACCAGCAATAACAGTACAAGAAAGGAAGACAAGATAGAATTTGTCCCATCACTCACACCTCCTGGTGTGAATTCCTCTACCTCTCCTCCATGACTCTCCTCTGTGAGAGTTCACATCTCTGAATTAAGAATTACAGAGAGCTGGAATCTGGCCATCAGGCATCACCTCATAGTCTTCCTTCACTCCCCAGCCTTCGTGACTGACAACAACGCCTTGATATTTGAGGAACACCAGATATGTACAAGCCCCAACCTGCACAACATCTTGCAGACCACAGAGAGTGGGGGCCTGTTCGTGGAGGATGAGAACAAGTTCATCTTCTGCAATGTCCTTGTGGGCCATCAGGCCAAGGCTCGGTTCAAGATCAGTAATGTGGGAAAGATTGCCTGTGATATCAACATTGTAGTTAGGCCTATCTCCAATAAGGTAAGAAGCTCCAAATGGCCCCTGGCCCAGTACATTTGGCATAAAGCCTGGAAAGAGCTCTGAGAAGCTCTGAGTGGGAGTTATATTATTCTTAAGCCCTGCTGGAAGTTATGTAAGGTTAACTGGTCAGTTTGCCCTAGACCAGCAGCCATACATTTGTCCCAGTGCGTATCTTTTCTGAGTACCTCTCTAATAAACTGGTACACACTAATGAGCAACTCATTCATTTATTAAGTACTCACTGTACACCTAAAAGAGACAAAGTATGGTGAGGAGGGCCTAAGATGAACACCAGCATCAGACAGACCTGCCTCCAGTTGTATATTCTTCTGGTAATGGAGATTTAGAAGATATCAGATTATGAAGATATGGTGAAATGGTGAAACTTTTTTGAGTCCTGGCCCTGTGCTAAGCATTATGCTAAGTAACATATTTATTGTCTCATTTCATCTTCAAAACAACTCTTTTCGGTTTGTATTTTTATCTCCACTTTACATTTATGGAAACTGAGGTTCAGAAAGGCTAAATTCTTCCCCTAGATTCCAGAGCCTAGGAAATATAGGGCTGGTTTGAAATCCAAGCTTCATCCATGTACAGTGTAAATAATAAGTGCCCATCTTAGGGCCTGCCAGGCTCAAAAGTGCTTTCTCTCCCTGAATCAGATAATTCTGGAATCTGTTTTCCTCATAGTGAAACAGATAATTCAGGATACTGAGAGAGGGCTTAATCAGTGAGTTTCTGTCACTCTTAATTTCCAATCCACTGTGTAGCAAATATTGCCTCTTCTTATGTTGGCTGCTTCAGTTCTCTCTGCCCAAAGATGGAATCTGGGCCCAGGAAGTCTCTGTGCCCCAGAGCAGGCATTGTTCACATCTGATGGTGGTTGAGAGGTCACCAAGGGGATTGGTATCAGTCTAGAGCTATATACATAGTGTGCATTCCTGGGGTACTGTCAATGCAAAGGGGTAACAGTTGAGGAGACTATATAATCTCTTTTATGACTTCCCTTAGGCCCCTCAGGCCCTGGTAATATCCAGTCATCATTCTCTAACCTTATTTGGAACACTGAAGGGCAACTTTCTTCCTATTCTGAAAAGAAAAAAAAAACACATAAAAAATGAGCAAGCCTGATTTCTAGACAGAAACTTTATAACAGGATTTGCAAACATGTTCTCCTCCACCCTAGTTTACATACCTGAAGGCTATCCCTTGGAAGACTAAAGAAACCTTAGTGCCCTCAGTTTCTAAGAACAAGAACTAGTCAGTCTTGAATCCCACCTGCTTCCCATGAGAATGAAAAGCCCTTTCAAGGCCATGCCAGGGGTGCTTACATTCCCAAAACACAGCCACGTGATGAGAGAAGGTGAAGAGTTGTGGGAGGTTGTCTAGCCAAGGCTCTTAGAGTTACAAGGAGAAGAAACCCACTTAGGTTAACCCAAACAAAGCAAGGCTTACTGCAGAATGAAGCGAAATCTCTGATTGACAGGCTTAGTTCAGATGAGTCAAAAATCATGGATCTAGCCAAATCCAGCCAGATAGTATTCAGTGGAGAGTGCCAGAATATCTAAGCTGCTGCTTGAGGGACCGTGACTATGCAGGCAGTGAAGCATGTCCACCACAGAGCTTAGTCAAGGGAGAGTTCACCTTCGAGCAATGGAGATGAACACTGCACAGGAGACATGTAAGTAGTAATGTAAGTAGTTATGTAAGTAAGTACGCCCATCATAAATGCAAAGTAGCTAACATACTCTGGTCTCTGCTCTCCCTCACCAGGCTTATGCCCGCATCACTGACATTTTTGAAGTGGAACCCAACAAGATGTGTGTTGCCAGTCACTCACATGCCTTTGCTACAGTGGCCTTCACCCCACAGACCATGCAGACCTACCAGTGTATCTTTGAGGCTACCTTGGATGGCTTGCCCAGGTACCAGCTCCTAGCAGGGTTACAGGCCACACTCTCCGTGGAATGTCATTCCTGCCATGCCAGGCTGACAGGCCTCAACCTTCTTGTTCCCTGCAGCAACCTGGCCAAAAGCCGAGGTCTTGTGTTCGATATCACCGGTGAGGGGAATCTCCCTCGAGTGACCATTGTGCGACCAATTCTCCATAACCAATATGGAAGCCCCTTGCTTCTCTTTAAGAGGCTTCTGCTTGGTCATTCAGAGAAACTGCCTCTAATCCTCAAGAACAATGGCACCATCCCTGCCCAGGTAATATTTGAGGGTGAAGCATGGGGTAGAAAGGAGAATAATTATTCAGGAGTTAGACTTCTCACATTGTGATCTCTGCCATCCCTAATGTGTAAGGACTTCCTTGATCATCCTCATACATTAACCTGTGTGTAAGGGACATGCAGAGGGAATTCTGGCATGGTCTCTATCCTCAAGGAAAGTAGGAAACCAGATTACACAATACACTAATAACTACTGTGCATAGTAGCATACAATGCCATGTACCAAACTAAGTGGGTAGGATTATGGGTATTTTAGTACCTTCTTTATTTTTTATTTTGTCTATAATAAACATTGCATTTGTAATGAGGAAAAAACAAGACAATAAAAGAAACTTCATTGGGGTGAGAGATGTAACATCTAAAGGGACTTTTGATTCAGTGATTAAATTATAGTTTATTTTACCAAAAAGTGATGAATCATATAAGTGTTGTTCAGAGGACTGTAGGACTTTGAGAATGATCTAGTCCCATCAGGGAATGAAGGAAAATTTACTGTAAATGACATTTGAGCAGAGCATGAAAGGATAGTTGGATTTCAGCAAGTGGGCATGAAGTATATGCATCCCAGGAAGAAGCACCCAGCTTCACAAGACCATAGCTATAGGTAGAAGAGCAATGGGAGACAAAAATTAAAGAGTAGAGTAATGGAACAACTTGTAGAGGGTGTTGAGTTTTCTACATAACTTAAATCCTGCAAGATATTGTTCCTATTGCTCTTACTGTTGTTCTTATAGTTTTAAAATTAGATTTCATTTAGATTTACCCATATATGTATCACTTTTATTGCTCTTTATTCCTGCATCTCCAATTTTCTGTCTGAGATCCTTTTCTTACTAACTGAAGAATACTCTTTATTATTTATTTAATGTGAGTCTGCTGGTTCTGAATTCCTTCAGTTTTTTGACAGTCTCTATTTCTCTTTCATTTTAATGAAATTTTTACTGGCTATAGAATTCTGGGTTGGCAGTTGTTTTCTTTCAGCAGTTGGGAGACATTATTCCATTGTGTTCTGGTTTCTGTTGTTACTGCTGTCAGCTATAACCCTAAAATGTTCTTTTAAGGGCATTTTCTTATAACTGCCTTTAACATTTTCACTTTGTATTTATTTTCTGAAGTTTTACTATGATGTGTCTGGGTGTGGATGTCTTCTAATTTGTCCTTAGAATTCAACAGGTTTCATGATTCTGTGTATTGATGTCAAATCCATTTTGGAAAATTCCTAAACATGCCTTTAAATATTGCTCCTGTTCCATTATCTTTAATCTCTCTTTCTGTGATGCCAGTTAAATGTATGGAAGACCTCACTATATCATCTGTGTCTTTCAACTTCACTATATTTTCTGTTCATTTTCTCTGGGCTTTCTTTTGCATAATTTATTTTTTCCTGTCTTGATTCATTAACTCTCCCTTTAGCTGTATCAAATGTGCTGTTAAACCTTTCCATTACGTCCTTAAGCTATTATACTTTTCAGTTCTGGGATATCTATTAGGGTTTTTTTAAGTCTACATAATTAATTTTTATGGTGCCTAGTTTCACACTGAAGCTGTCAAAGTAACCATTTTGCACTCTATAACTGATAATTCCAAAATCCAAAGTCCCTGTGGATCTGTTTCTGATACTAGCTATTTTGCTCATTCTTGCCCATGTTCTCCTGTCTCCCATGTGCCTGGTTATCTTTTGATCATGTGTTGGGTACCACAATTGAAAAATTGTTTAAAAACAATTAGACTAAGAATAATATTTTTCTTCATAGACAGTTTTCATTTACTTCTGCCCAACACTAGGGGGCACTAGAAATTTAAGATCACCTAAGCCAGTTTTAGAGCTTGAGATGTAGCTTCCCAGATGATTCAGAGCAGGATTGCTATCATTGAGAAAGTTGGCTTATATCCAGTTACCTTTTCATCTAATGGTGCCTACATTTTGGGTCCCAGCCCAGAGCAAAGAAAGCACTCCTCCCACCTTTCACAACCCTTGGACTTCTGCCCTGTTAGCACCAAGAAACCATCAAAGTCACAGATAAGCTTCCCATCTTCCTCTTCCTGATTGGCAAATGCTCTAGGACAAAAATAACTCCGAAAGTTAGGATGACTTCCTGGATTACTGTGCTGTCACAGATCTTGGTCTAGTTATTCTTCACTGTCTCTCTGTGATGCTTTTAACTTTGTTTCTGTATTTAGTCTAGCAATATATTTTCTGTCTTGAGTTCAGTTTACCTAGTTTACCATTACCCTGCATTATTTCCATTACTATGGCTTTATAAAATATTTTAGCATATAGTTCAGTGAATTCGTGCCTACCCACTTTCTGTTTTTGTAATTTGTCTTAACAGTTTTTGTCTGATAATCTCTCAGATGGACCTTAGAATTATTTTTATAATGTTCCTCAAAAAATTCTATTGGAGCCAGGCTTGGTGGCTCAGCCTGTAATCCCGTGCCTTTGGGAGGCTGAGGTGAGTGGATTGCCTGAGCCCGCGGATTCGAGACCCGCCTGGGCAACTTGGCAAGACCTCATCTCTACAACAAATCAAAAATTAGCCGGGCGTGGTAGCGCGCATCGGTAGTTCCAGCTACTTGGAAGGCTGAGGCGGAAGGATCGCCGGAGCCCAGCAGGTCGAGGCTGCGGTGGCCGGGAGTGGCCACTGCACTCCAGTCTGAGTGACAGAGTGAGACTCCAACTCAAGAAAGAAAAAAAAATTCTATTGGGAAGCCTATGAATTATTTTGGGGAAAATTTCTACCTTTAGAGTATTTAGACTTTTCACCAGAAACAATATTTAGGATCCCACCCATTTATTTAAATCTTTTATGTCAATATTTCTTGTATATAATTCCTCCATACTCCATATGGTTTCTTATTAAAGTTATTTCTAAATACCTAATTTTTTTTCAATCTTGGAAGCTTCCCAGGTGTTATCACTGTTTCTTCCATCTTCGTGTCTCATTTTTTTATATTATTCAATCTTGTTTGTGAGTACCAGCATTGCTGTCTACTAACAATGTCTCCTGATTTCTCATACCTAAAGTCAGATGTATAGCTTTAGTCTTATCTCCCTTCCAACAGGCTAGAAATCACCCCTTTCTCCAAGTAGGTCAAATGCTCACTCTTTTTTCTCTTATCTTGACAGGATGCTCAACATGACACTATCAGACAACTAATGCATAGCACCTAGGAGATACTGAATTTTAGGAATTCATATTCATGCAGGCCCTTGTAACATTGCAAGTATTCGTTTCCATTTTGTTAGTCCAACATATATTTGACAATTGCTTTTGTTAATAACAGAAGCATTAGCAACCCCATTTTGACACTATCTAGCTGTGAGATCTGGAAAGTTTCCTACACTCCTTGGACCTCTAGTTCCTCACTCAGATAACAAGGGTTGAACTGATTGGATTTCCTTTTGTCCTCTAAAGGTCTAAAATTTATTATTTCTCTCTCTTAATAAGAAACTCAAAAAAAGCAGTACTAGGAGCAATGACTATTTGGGGTCTTTCCCCAAACACAGCACAGTATCTCACCCCAGACTCAAAGCCCGTGAGCAACCCGTGAGCCTAGCATTCAATCCTGCTTTCCTTCTGCCAGCTGCATGTTGATCTGCGGGATGAACTAGGAGTCTTTTCCCTGAAAGGAAGGCCCACTACCTCATACATTTACATCACAGAGGAAAGCAAACCAAATGAAAAAGGTAAATGGAAGGGAGGGCTTCTAGAGGGCAGTGGATCTCAGTAGTTAGATTGCTAGGGGACCGCTCAGGGCCCAGCCAGAGAGGAACGCCCAGTCTCATCACCACTGGCCTCTAGCTGAGGCTTGTTCCCATGCTAGGCCTGTTTTCCTTTCAGTCAGGTTTTTATGGATACATATTTCTTGAAGCAGGTTCTAAATCATATCTTCTTTCTTCTCTTGGCAGCAAAGAAAGCTCACACAGCCTCCCTGATTATTTCTCCTGGAGATACAGCCGAATTCGATGTCTTTTTCTACTCCCAGAAGGTTGGGAGAATGAGAGGCATCATCCACTTGTCAGTGATCAATAACCAATATGAGGAAACCATTATCCACATGGTGGGAGAGGGTTACAAGGATGACATCACCTTAGACAACATCCACGGGCTGGTGGCTTCCACTGACACAAATATCTCTGAATTCACAGAGATCATTGAGGACAATATGGAAGACTTAGTGGCAGGTAGGAGAAGCAGTAGTGAGGTATTGACAAGTGTTGGCTCTTGGGTCATTTTAGATGAGGATGAAATTTAAGTAACAGGCTGGCTAGCTTCTTGAGAATTTAGGAATGACTGTCCTGTTCATTCTGTTCATACTCTATGTTCTGGCATGTCTGGCTTAGTCACTGCATTCATCCTTGCATTTATTTACTCAAGTGTTCACTCAATGAACATGTATTGGCACCATGTGCATGTTCCAGGCATCACACTGAGCCCTGCAGTTGCAAAGATTAATAAGAAAGTCTCTGCTTTTAGGGAGTTTATAGCTTGATATTCAAATTCCAGTTCAACTAATAAGTGAATAAATGCCTCTTTGTAATCTATATATTTTAGTTGGCTTGGGTTAGCATTGTCTGTCTTATTTAATTAGAGAGGATATAGGTTTGGGCCATTTCTAGAACATCATTCTCCACAGCCTTACTACTCAATGAGTAGTTTGAGAACATACAACTGCAGCATCACCTGGGAGCTTGTTAGAAATGGAAGTTTCAGACACACCCCAACCTACTGAATGAGAATCCACATTTTAACAAGATCCCTAGGTGATTTGTGTGTATATTAAAGCTGCAAACATGCCATTTTACAATCTATCGAGCACAAAAGCTTCATTTAGTTGATCATATTATTTGGGGTATGAAAAAATGTACTTCACTGTTATCATCAAAAAGCATTTGTTAAGCACCCTAATTATGGCTGTTTATTCTAAAACGAGTTATAAATACAGTCCCACAGTTCTTCTTGGAGCTTAATTACAGTCCTGTAATGTGCCATTAGGTAGTCTGTACAACATGAGTTGAAATCAGCACTCCTATATCTGGTATTTGACCCCTATTTGAGGCTACAGGGCAGCATCTCTCTTATCGGGGTCATGCAGGAGCCAGCATTGAATTTAAGTTCAGAAATCAGATTTTATACTTAAATAGGGTTGCCAGATTTAGCAAATCAGAATACGAGTACCCAGTAATTTGAATTTCATAAACTACGAATAATATTTAGTATAAGTCTGTCCCAAACATGGCATGAGGCATACTTATCCTAAAAATTACTCATTGTTTATCTGTAATTCAGATTTAATTGGGACTCCTTTTTATCTGGCAATCCTAATTCTTAATAGTATTGTCTCACCAAACAAATGGAGTTGGGGACCTTGTTTTCTGTACAAATGGAGGTGAGGGCCAAGGTGGATGGATGGATGGATGGATGGATGGATGGATGGATGGATGGATGGATGGGTGGGTGGATGGGTGGATAGGTAGGTAGATCCCTCTGGGAGAGAAATCTTGCTACTCAGAAGCTCCAGATTTTTTAATAAACCATCCAAAGGGGGTTGCCTGATGGTGAAGCACATGTCTACCAAGTACTGCCTCCTTAAGGAAGTGGACCCTCAGAGGAGACCAGGGAGGACTCCTAGCCTTCTGTTTCTAATCCCTAGCTGCTCTGGTGGACCACATCCAGTTTGGAGACTGCCACATTGGACACAGCTATAATGTGAGCTTCACAGTCACAAATCACAGCCAAGGGAATGTGATGCGATTTGAATGGCCCCTTTTAGCTGCAATTACTTTCTCCCCACAGGTAAGTGAAAGTCATTCATGTTTTCTAGACTCCCTTAGGCTTAAGCCAACTCTGATCTGATTGTCAGTCAGCCTTTTCCCATGGATGTATGGAATAGGGTGGATGCACCTCAAGCTGGGAGATGGCTTAAGAACCATTCCTCACTCATACCTGGTACCAGAGGGTGTTCTTTATGTCCCCCACCCTCCAATTAAGAGTGGAAGACAGAGAATGAAGAGTATTGCAAAGATGATGTGGAGGGATTCTGTGGAGGCCTGTACAGATGAATATAGGTCCTGATCATCTTCTCCCAGATTATGGACCTGTGTCCCCTTAGGTGTGTGTCCTTTAGAGCCTCAGGCCTTCAAAAGTGCTTCACCAAAACCAAAAAGGGGGTAGTGGGCTCTGTGGACAACTGAGATTTTGAAAATGTTGTAAATTAGATCTTTGTCTTAAAGATTCCCAGTGCCCTTTGCCACATTAAAACCTAGTTAACTTTCTTTTTACCTGGAATTTTCTAAACCCTTATTGTCTCACAGCACACATTTTATGAATTGCCAACAAAAGCTCACATTGAACAAGGTATAGGACACCATTGCAGTAGATTATTGCCTCTGGTCAGCAGTTGCTTTTTATAAATTGTCCACTTCTAAGAAGTTAATACAAGTCATGCTGTTCATACATAGTCACACATCTGCTTGGGCGTACTCTGCAGGGGTGGAACAAGGAGAGTTGTTGGAGACTCTGCTTTGACATCTTTATATCTTTGAGTGATATTGGGAATACGCTTTACTTCCTGGATGGATGTAAAGTTCACTTTAATCCTTCTGACTGATTCTACCTCCCTACTATATGCTAGCATACTGTGTTCATCTGTCCATAATGTATATAGATCATATGGATTAAGAGTGTGGCATTTGGAGCCAAATGCTCCAAATTATTGAGAATCCCAAAGGGCTTTTGTTTATGTGAGTTATGTCTATCAATACTTATCATATTAGAAATTAAAACTAAGAATGTTTAAAAACATGTATTTATTCATTTTAAAATATAAAATAAACCCATCACATGTTAATATAATATAAATTTGAAAATTGCTATAATTCCAAAAAATTGAGGAGTGGTATTATTTTACATTTTTATAAATCTCTTTAATATCTGACTTAATAGAAGACAACTGGATTCTCACCTCTGCTTTTGCATTTGATTAAAGGCAAAATTATATGTCATGTAACCTCTAGAAAGCTCCATTGTACAGTCATGAGAAAATGAGAGTGAAAAAGTCAAATAACATTTTTGTATTATGATGAAAATAGTTTGACCTCATGGAACCCCTGAAAAGGTCTTGGGATCCCAAGAGTCACCAGAACACCTTCTGAGAACTAGCTAATATACTGTATTTATTAGTCCATAATGTATATAGATTATATGAATTAAGAGTGTGGCATTTGGAACCAAACTGCCTGGGTCTGAATCCAGCTCTTCAAATATGAATGACCTCAAGCAAGTTCCAAAGTTCTTTGTCATAGCTATGCCTCTCATAAGGTTATTGTGGGGATTAATAGAACTGTGTAAAGGTTTAGAATCATGTGTGAGCCGGGCTCAGTGGCTCAGCCTGTAATCCCGCGCCTTTGGCAGGCTGAGGTGAGTGGATTGCCTGAGCCCGCGAGTTCGAGACCCGCCTGGGCAGGCGAGACCTCATCTCTACAATAAATCAAAAAATTAGCCAGACGTGGTAGCACGCGCCTGTAATTCCGGCTACTCGGAAGGCTGAGGAGGAAGGATCGCCGGAGCCCAGCAGGTAGAGGCTGCGGTGGCTGGGAGCGGCCACTGCACTCCGGTCTGGGCGACAGAGTGAGACTCCAACTCAAAAAAAAAAAAAGAATCATGTGTGAAGCAAGTAACAGTTCAATAAATATTAGTTGCTCTTGTTATTACTATGACATTTCCATCTAAGAACCCCTTATACATATTTAAGTCAATCCACAGATACAAGGTGGATTGATGGATTTTTTGCCAAGGCTTTTGGCTCCATCCCTTCTCTAGAATATCACCAGCAGAATATCAAGAGTCCTTAAGATTGTATTCTCAAGCCGGGCTCAGTGGCTCAGCCTGTAATTCCGCGCCTTAGGGAGGCTGAGGTGAGTGGATTGCCTGAGCCCGCAGGTTCAAGACCCGCCTGGGCAGCGAGACCTCATCTCTACAAT